GAATGAAAGTACCTCAACATTATAAAAGCTATATATGACTAACCTACAGCCAGCATTATATTTAATGGAGAAAAATTGAAACCATTCTCTCTAAAATCAGGAACTAGACAAGGATGCCCACTATCTCCACTCCTATTCAACATAGTACTGGAATTCCTAGCCAGAGCAATTAAGCAAGAAGAGGAAATAAAAGGAATAAAAATAGGTAAAGAAACTGTCAAAATATCCCTATTTGCAGATGATATAATCCTATATCTTAAAGACTCAAAAAATTCTACTCAAAAGCTTCTAGACACCATCAACAGCTATAGCAAGGTAGCAGGATATAAAATCAACATAGAAAAATCATTAGGATTTCTATACACTAATAATGAACAAACTGAGGAAGAATATATGAAAATAATTCCATTTACAATAGCCTCAAAAAAAATCAAATACCTGGGAGTAAACTTGTTACCTGGGAGTAACAAGGATGTGAACGACCTCGACAAGGAAAACTATAAACTCCTGAAGAAAGAGATTGAGGAAGACTATAGAAAGTGGAGAGATCTCCCATGCTCATGGATTGGTAGAATCAACATAGTAAAAATGTCTATAACCTCAAAAGCAATGTACATGTTTGGTGCAATTCCCATCAAAATCACAATGACATTCATCAAAGAGATTGAAAAATCTACCGTTAAATTTATTTGGAAACACAAGTGACCATGAATAGCCAAGGCAATACTCAGCAAAAAGAACAATGCTGGAAGTATTTCGATACCCAACTTCAAACTATATTACAAAGCAATAGCAATAAAAACGCATGGTACTGGCAGAAAAACAGACATGAAGACTAGTGGAACAGAATAGAGGACCCAGATATGAAGCCACACAACTATAACCAACTTGTCTTTGACAAAGGCGCTAAAAATATACAATGAAGAAAAGACAGCCTCTTCAACAAAAACTGCTGGGAAAACTGGTTAGCAGTCTGCAAAAAACTGAAACTAGATCCATGTATATCAACCTATACCAATATTAACTCAAAATGGATCAAGGATCTTAATATCAGACCACAAACTCTAAAGCTGATACAGGAAAGAGTAGGAAATACTCTGGAGTTAGTAGGAATAGGTAAGAACTTTCTCAATGGAACCCCAGCAGCACAGCAACTAAGAGATAGCACAGATAAATGGGACTTCATAAAACTAAAAAGCTTTTGCTCATCAAAAGAAATGGTCTCTAAACTGAAGAGAACATCCACAGAGTGGGAGAACATATTTGCCACATAGACATCAAAGGACTGATAACCGGAATATATAGGGAACTCAAAAAACTAAATTCTCCTAAAATTAATGAACCAATAAAGAAATGGACAACTGAACTAAACAGAATTTTCTCAAAAGAAGAAATTCAAATGGCCAAGAAACACATGAAAAAATGCTCACCATCTCTGGCCATTAAGGAAATGCAAATCAAAACCACAGTAAGATTCCACCTTACTCCTGTTAGAATAGCCATCATTAGAAACAACAACAACAACAGGTGTTGGCGAGGATGTGAGGAAAAAGGAACCCTTATACACTGCTGGTGGGAATGCAAACTAATACAACCACTCTGGGAAAAAATTTGGAGGCTTCTTAAACATCTAAACATAGATCTGCCATATGATCCAGCAATACCACTCTTGGGGATATACCCAAAGGAATTCGACACAGGTTACTCCAGAGGCACCTGCACACCCATGTTTATTGCAGCACTATTCACAATAGCAAAGTTATGGAAACAGCCAAGATGCCCCACTACTGACGAATGGATTAAGAAAATGTGGTATTTATACACAATGGAATTTTATGCAGCCATGAAGAAGAATGAAATCTTATCATTTGCAGGTAAATGGATGGAACTGGAGAAACACCATCCTGAGTGAGGTTAGCCAGGCCCAGAAGACCAAAAATCCTATGTTCTCCCTCATATGCGGGCATTAGATCAAGGGCAAACACAACAAGGGGATTGGACTTTGAGCACATGATGAGGTGAGAGCACAGAAAGGAGGGGTGAGGATAGGCAAGAAACCCCAATAAAACAAAATAGCATTTGATGTCCTCAATGCAAAGGAACTAATGCAGAAACTTTAAAGTGACAGAGGCCAATAGGAGAAGGGGACCAGGAACTAGAGAAAAGGTTAGTTCGAGAAGAATTAATTTAGAATGTAACACATATGTACAGGAAAGCAATGCAAGTAAACTCTCTGTATAGCTATCCTTATCTCAACTAGCAAAAACCCTTGTTCCTTCCTATTATTGCTTATATTCTCTCTTCAACACAATTAGAGATAAGGGCAAAATAGTTTCTGTCTGGTAGCGAAGGGGTTGAGGGGATTGAGAGGGGGTGGAGGAAAAGGAGGGGTCAGAGGGAAGTGGAGAGAAATGTCCCAAACATATGAATAAAAGAAATAAAAAAAAGAATAAAGAAACAAGGAAATCTTTTTTCTTCCCAGACTTTCTAGCTTCCATTTAAGAAGTCACTTCAATTAGCATAGGAGGGAAACTTTCTATTTCACAGCTAACAGTACTACTATGTGCTATTCTAAGAACTTTCTATGCCATTCAAAATTCCAATCTGATTTCTCAGATAACCTATATTAAAAACTAAATGAAGCCAGGGCTTATGGAGTAGGTCAAGTGGTAGAGTGCCTGCCAAGCAAGCATGAGGCCCTGAGTTCAAACACTGGTACTGCCAAAATAAATTAATTTACATGGGAGAATATTTATTTGCAATGCAAATGAATTATCCACACTCCATAGACTCAATTCTAATTGCACATTAGAATAACCTGGAAAGAATTGTTTAAAATCCCAAAGCCCAGGTACCAGGAGGTCTTTTTTTTTTTTTTTCATTTTTCTTTTATTATTCATATGTGCATACAAGGCTTGGTTCATTTCTCCCCCCTGCCCCCACCCCCTCCCTTACCACCCACTCCACCCCCTCCTTCCCCCCCGCCCCCGCTCAATACCCAGCAGAAACTATTTTGCCCTTATTTCTAATTTTGTTGTAGAGAGAGTATAAGCAATAATAGGAAGGAACAAGGGGTTTTGCTGGTTGAGATAAGGATAGCTATACAGGGCATTGACTCACATTGATTTCCTGTGCATGGGTGTTACCTTCTAGGTTAATTCTTTTTGATCTAACCTTTTCTCTAGTACCTGTTCCCCTTTTCCTATTGGCCTCAGTTGCTTTAAGGTATCTGCTTTAGTTTCTCTGCGTTAAGGGCAACAAATGCTAGCTAGTTTTTTAGGTGTCTTACCTATCCTCACCCCTCCCTTGTGTGCTCTCGCTTTTATCATGTGCTCATAGTCCAATCCCCTTGTTGTGTTTGCCCTTGATCTAATGTCCATATGAGGGAGAACATATGATTTTTGGTCTTTTGGGCCAGGCTAACCTCACTCAGAATGATGTTCTCCAATTCCATCCATTTACCAGCGAATGATAACATTTCGTTCTTCTTCATGGCTGCATAAAATTCCATTGTGTATAGATACCACATTTCTTAATCCATTCGTCAGTGGTGGGGCATCTTGGCTGTTTCCATAACTTGGCTATTGTGAATAGTGCCGCAATAAACATGGATGTGCAGGTGCCTCTGGAGTAACAGTCTTTTGGGTATATCCCAAGAGTGGTATTGCTGGATCAAATGGTAGATCGATGTCCAGCTTTTTAAGTAGCCTCCAAATTTTTTTCCAGAGTGGTTGTACTAGTCTACATTCCCACCAACAGTGTAAGAGGGTTCCTTTTTCCCCGCATCCTCGCCAACACCTGTTGTTGGTGGTGTTGCTGATGATGGCTATTCTAACAGGGGTGAGGTGGAATCTTAGCGTGGTTTTAATTTGCATTTCCTTTATTGCTAGAGATGGTGAGCATTTTTTCATGTGTTTTCTGGCCATTTGAATTTCTTCTTTTGAGAAAGTTCTGTTTAGTTCACGTGCCCATTTCTTTATTGGTTCATTAGTTTTGGGAGAATTTAGTTTTTTAAGTTCCCTGTATATTCTGGTTATCAGTCCTTTGTCTGATGTATAGTTGGCAAATATTTTCTCCCACTCTGTGGGTGTTCTCTTCAGTTTAGAGACCATTTCTTTTGATGAACAGAAGCTTTTTAGTTTTATGAGGTCCCATTTATCTATGCTATCTCTTAGTTGCTGTGCTGCTGGGGTTTCATTGAGAAAGTTCTTACCTATACCTACTAACTCCAGAGTATTTCCTACTCTTTCTTGTATCAACTTAAGAGTTTGGGGTCTGATATTCAGATCCTTGATCCATTTTGAGTTAATCTTGGTGTAGGGTGATATACATGGATCTAGTTTCAGTTTTTTGCAGACTGCTAACCAGTTTTCCCAGCAGTTTTTGTTGAAGAGGCTGCTATTTCTCCCTCATATATTTTTAGCTACCAGGAGGTCTTGATGAGTTGGTTTGAAATGGAGCTCAAGCAATGGTATTTTTTCAAAGCTCTGCAGGTGGATCTGAACCAAGATTCTGAGCCAGAGCTGAGAATCGCAGCAGCTGCACAGTGCTCAGGTGCTCCTTACTTAATAGCTCTGTCACTGACCAGCCACCTAATCCAGTGAAGTTCACATTCCCCTTATCATTAAGATGTGGATAACAGGATTACCAACCTAATGAGGCAAAATTGAGATAACATACAAAGAGCCTAGAATAAGGTCTGGGACACAGGAGCACTCAACTATTCACTACCATGGTGGTGGTAATGGTGATGATGACAATGACAATGACGATGATGATGACTGGAGTTTTTACCTGAGGGTGGAGCTACAACATGTTTCTCCATTTCAAAAAGCAAGAATCATAAAACTTCAACCAAGCAGGACTTTATAATCTTTATCATGGGTTTCCTTACCAGGAACAACTATCTACCTAATACAATTTTTAGGGAATATTTAGATTCCCTAGAAGGGACGTGGCAGCTCATAACTGTAGCATACAACATAAAGGAACTCACGCACCTGGGATTGAAATGAATTTTCTTGGGCACTTCTCTGCTCTCTATGACCACTTTCTGATTGTCTCTATAATGAATGGGGTCGTCAGGGATCCTGAATTTGGCCATTTGAATTTCAGAATCACTCAGTTCAGCATGAGAAATTCTTGCATAACCCAACCTGTAGCAGAAACAGAAATGGTTGGTAGGTTTTATCATCACATAAAATCTGATGAATATTAGAGCGAGGGCCTGGGGTCGCTCTCCAGCAACCCCAGAATCTGATGAGATCTAGTAGATAGCACCTTCATTATTAAGTCACTTTCCCTGTCTTGACTCTATATATCATAACAAGAATTAACTTGATTTATTACTCTAAATAGTAACAAAAGCATTGCTTTTATAACATAATAAATGAATAAGGAATATGCACATATCTTAAATAAATATACTTAACAACCTTACTTTACCTTTGTACACTAGTGAATATTCTGTCTATACAAATTGCTTCCCACATAATTATGTTTTGAGTTGATAACAAGATTTCTTCAGAATGACAGGCGTGTATGCCTAAATTCTTTCTTACCTTTAAAAATCCAAATACCACATGCGTATTTTCAGCCATACTCGCTAATCTAAAATCAAAGACTTTAAATGTCTGAAATATTCTACATTCTGTTTTGGCATAAAGCTCTCTGCTCTCCAGGAAACTCAAAAAATTTTATAGACATTATCCAAAGAATTCTTACTGAAGAGTTCAGATGAAAAAATGGGGAGGGGGGGAGAGGGAGGGGGCGGAGTGGGTGGTAAGGGAGGGGGTGGGGGCAGGGGGGAGAAATGAACCAAGCCTTGTATGCACATATGAATAATAAAAGAAAAATGAAAAAAATAAAAAAATAAACTGGGCAAATTTAAAAAAAAAAAAAGAAAAGAAAAAAATGGGGAACCAGAAGTAGCAAACCATTCATTTAAATTTATTTATGTTTTGTCTCCCCCGCTCCAAATTGCACCAGTTTCAGTCATTTGCTTATTCAATGAAATAAATATTTATCGAGTCCCTACTGCATGTGGCACCATTCTAGGTACTGGGGGTAAGTAGTGAACACAATGCTATTCTTGCTCTCATGGACTTTCATTCTAGAACAAAACACTGGATGAAGTGAGGGAATAAGTAACACAGATGCTGGAGGAAAGGTGCTTGAAGGAATACGGATAGAAAATGCAAAGGTGCTCAGAAAGAAACATGCTGGGTGTTTTGGGGAACCAACCCCACCAGGATGGAGTGAAGGAAATGAAAGAAGATGAGCTTGGGTGGGGGTGGGGAACAGATAATGCAAATCCTTCTGTGCAGGTCATTGTAAGGACTTTTATAAGGATTTTTGTTTGCAAAAAATGAAAATCCGTTAGAGGAGATGGGGCAGAGATCTGTGATGGCTTCTGTATAGAGAATAGACTCAGGGAAAGAATCAAGCAGGGAGACCAGTGAACAAGCCATTGCAATAATTTAGGTGTGATGATGGGGGGGGCTCTGGCCAGAATGGTAGGAGGAGCACTTAAAGCATAAGCGAACAAAACACAAAAAATAGAAATGGAAACCCAGAGCCTGACAAGCAGATACAGCAAGTCAGTATACCGTGAAGGGTAAGAGAAAAGACACACTGTGCATCAGAGGTGGATTTGAGCTGTCAGACAGGTTAATGCATTTGTCTAAGCTCAGGAATTGTAGCGCCATGTAATTCTAAGTCTCTGATAAATCTAGGTTATTTATTTCCCAAATCTCTAAGATCAAAGCTCTAAACTGCTTCATAAACATCACCTTCAAGGAGACTCCTAAAGTCCTTGAAGATAAGTAACACAACAATACAAAATTGCCACTAAAAGAGGGAGTCACTCATTTTTGTCCAATAAGTATTTATTAAGCACCTACTAAGTGTGAGGTATTGAACTAGGTGGCTGAGAGAGAGCACTCTGTGGGTAAAGAAAAGCCATGTAAGCACACAGCAAGAAGGCACCCATATGTAACCCAAGGGAAGGGCCCTCACCAGACACCAGACACCAACCCTGCTGGCACCTGGATCTTGGACATACATATAGTCCACAGAACTTTTGAGAATATAAGTGTCTCTTATTTAAGCCACCCAATCTATGTTATGTTGTTATGGCAGCCAGCACACATGGATACATACAACCTTTAACAGTTTGATATAAATACCAGTCTCTAATGGAGAGGCAACAAAGGTCTTGGTGCTCAGTAATTATTAGGGGCAGCAGCTACTATAAATACTACTGTTTCTTGGTGACTGATAATTTTTGCAACTTGGAACTATACCTATTTTGGTCTATAGCAAAACTTTTCTAGAATTCTGATATTCCCATTAAAAGAAATATTTTAACACAAATATACACAGAAACAGTATTTTCAACACGAGATATAAAATACTTTACAAAACTAACCCTTCAGCATGCTCTCTTCTACCTTCACTCTTTGAAAACACCAAAACAATGATCAAGTTATCTCTCCTGAAGCCATCTGTGCTGAGCCTTGCAGGGTTTCTGAATCAGTGGTAAACTACAACAATCTTACAGGATCTCAAGGACCTCCTGGGCTCAACTCAGTAAGCACATAATCCCCTGGACTTGTCCAAGGACCAATGAAGGTCACTATTTTACTAATGTTCAAACTCCTTAATAATGGTCTCCGGAGCCTTACAAGATCTTCTTCCTTCCCTCTCTGTCCTCACTCTCCCTTTCCCTCCTCTTCTACCCCCTACTACACACACATGCACACTGTAATCCCCTAGCCTCTTTTTTCCTTAAATATGCCAGCATTAGGACTTTTGCACTATCTGGTTGATCTACCTAGAAGGGTCATCTTCCAGCCCCTACTTATAATTGCACCCCACCTCCATCTTCTGGATGCTCAGTTTTCTTCTCCCACCCACATTCTAAAATGTGACATCAGGCAGTTCTTCATTGTGCTTTTGTCCATCTTCCCTCCACAGGGCAGGGGTCTTTCTCAGTTTTGCTCTTTGCTATACCTAGGTGCCTGGCATTCATAACTCCCAACCAATACTTGTTTCATGACCTAGTATAGAGCAGGAGGATCTAACAGCTTGCTGTCACCAAACTGTGACTCATAACTGAACAAGATGAGTCCCCACTGGTGGAGGGGCTGGCTCTGTGATTCTAGATCATTCTTCTAAGGCAGATCACAAATGGCAGGAAACAAAGCTACTGAGTGGGATAATGTTAGCCTCTATGTTTAGACAGGCAGTTCCAAGATGCTTTGGGTGTGATGAACTGCTCTATATGGAGGAGTGATAAGGTCTAGAAAGTCCATTCTGGAACCCCCTAGCAGTGTTCCTAGGAGGGTAGCTATGGCCTAGGGTCCAATATCTCCATACAGCTTTAGTACTAGCAGGAAAGGCCCCTGTGAGTTTCAGGGAAGGTTTTCAACCTGTTCTCTCCACTGTTGAATCCTGCCAGTGGAGGGAACTGTGAAGCAACCCACTGTCTACATAATCTGCTCCATTTTCCTCTCAGGGCACCTCTCATCTTTACTGCAGCCACACCAGCTATCTCACTACTACCAGAAAAACTCCCAGTGGACCCCTCAGGCTTTTGCACTTCCTATTCTCTCTGCCCAAGTACCTGTCCCAGGATACGCACAGGTGGACTCCCTTCTATCATTCAGGCCACTGCCCAAATGTCACCCCATCATACTGTGCCCACCCTAAGTAGCCTACCACAGCTATCCCCAACACTGCTTCCATCCTACCTGGCTTCATTCTTTTTCTTTTCATCATCTTTGTTTCTACCTGTCATAATGTATCATTTCTTACTGGCTTATTTTCTGCCTCCTTCCACTGGAATGTAAGTTGTGTGATAGTCAAGGACTTCATTTTGTTCCTATTATCTTTCTGCCTCCAATAACACCTGGCACATCGTAGATAAGAAACACTTTAGAATAATTCAATAGTCCCTCTTTTTGCTTTAGCTAAAGAAATACTGCCTTCAAAGCTAATTTATACAGTCACACATTTGAATTTTGAGATCTTTTATCTATATTAATTTGGATCATATATATATGTATATATATATATATATGATCCAAATATATAGTATCTAAAGATATGTATATATTGAATTGCTACGGGATGATATTTTTAAGTATAATTTACTAGAGATCTCACTACAGTATAGTGGTGGCTCTGAGTTAATTTACTCAAGATGGCATGATTAAAAGCTGACAAAGCTGGGACTCATACCCAGAACTCTCTCATTCCTTGGTTGATGACATTTCTACCACGCCATGTAGTCAGAAATAGTACCATTCCTGCCGTGTGCTAACAGTTACACACTTGCGATGCTTACTACTTTACACGGTATTCTCACTGTATCACTACTTTTGCTTAGCTATTTTCACATTCTTAAATCTTTAGGCCATAACTTGAAAAAAATGTTAAATAGTATAACCATAATACATATAAAAATGTTAAACAGTATAAAAGTTAAATGAATTTTCATTAAAAGTAGCAAAAATTAATTGCTTCCATAAAGTTTTTCCTCCTAGGACAGATCCAAAGGATGACAGTAATAATAGGATTAAAAAACACCTTACTATCTCTTATGTTTTCTCTTCAACAAAATCAGAGAAGAGGGCAGAACAGGTTCTGCCTGGAAGTGGGGGTGGGGGGGTTAGGATATGAGGAGTGGGGGTGTGGGGGAGGGGAGGTGGCACAAACAAATGTATACACATGTAAGTAAATGTAAAAATGATAAAATAAAAGGAGAAAAAATTAAAAATTAATTTAAAAAACACCTATGCTTACCTGATCAGCCCCCGATACATAATGTATTCACACCATCTGTCATAATCTGTGCTGTCGATATCCTATTAAAGAGGAGAGAGGAGAATATTTAAAGCATTGAAAATAAGGCTTCATTCCGAATTACAAAAAAATGTGTGAACTACAGTGATAAATCTGCCTTTGTGCATGCTGTCTTCTCCTCCTGCCTCCTAATGATCACTCAAGTTCCAGATGTGTTCATTCTATAGATGTTTGGTGAGCACTGCTACAGCCCCTCTACATCTGTGCTAGAAGCTGAGAACACAGAGAAAAAGGTGGTCTGAAGAGGGAGGTGACAGGTAAGTCAGCACTTCCACTATAGTCCCTGGTCACCTGCAGCTTCCCAAGTCTCTACTAGAATTGAGTGCCCCTTCAGTAGTCATCCTAAGTTGTATTTCCCACCCAACAGCTACACCATGGTGCCACGGTGGTTTGTTTATTTTTATGTCTCCTCACTCTGTTTCCTGGCACTTGGCATGAAGCCTAGCATTCAGCAGGTGCTCAGATTGTGTTGGTTAAATTCAGTCATGGAAATAAACACATTGTGAGAGCAATCAGGAGTCTTTTTGATGTTGAATGCTTAAAACCAGAGTCATTTTGATCAGAGAAGGAGAACAGAAACTTTCTTTTCCTGTAATGTGTTGGGAAAACTATAATATGGAAGTTTTAACCTAAAGGAGAAATCTTCACTTTCTTCTTTAAATATTCAATAAATAAAAATATATTCAACTTTTTACAATCTCTGAATTTTGCTATTAAAACTTAAGGTACATTTTTAAATCACGAAAATAATACGCCACAATTTATTATTTCTTATTTTTTCTCTACTTAGTGATAAACACGTGGATACCTGTTAATCTTAATTAATATTTATGTTAATTGCACACTTACACCTTTTTCATATATGAAAAATGCAAAATGTCTTAAATTAAGATTTTTAATGATGAAAAAAGCAAATATATAAAAGAAGTACTGTTCTGGTTTATCTTGGAAAGAGATAAAATTTTAGCCTCTGAATATATATATAAGCTGTGAATAATAGCTAGGACTCTGTTTAACTATTATTTTATTTTATTAGGTTTTTTTAAAGATGCTATAAAAATTTTAAGACTCAGAATTTAAATGTTTATTAAAGAAAAAAATATGTTTGCTCAAGCATATATGATTAAAATTCCTTGACACTAATAAACTTACTAATAGAAAAGGCAATACTAGAATCCACTGTCAGTCTTAACATAGATTTTGACCATGGTAGTGAAAGCCAACAGAGGATTAATTAAAAATCAAATAAAATTCCTCTTCCCTAACACTGTGTGCACACCTTTTACACACACACACATCTTTCTTATTAGGATGCAGTTTTTCCTTTGACTTGCCAAATATCATCTCGTCCAACAGTCTTGTATACTTTACAAATCAAGTATTTGTGCTTCCTGTTATACTTCTGTCTTACTTGATTTTATACATACAGCAGATGCACACAACGCACTATATAAGGCTGGCATTATTCTATACTTCGTCCTTTTAATGACTCTGTGATTCAATAGATACTGTTATTACCACTTTGCAGATGAGAAAATTGAGGCCTAGAAAGGTGGAGTTACTTTCCCCCAGCTCACATAGCTGATCAATGAAGCACCAGCTAGGCTAATAATGATGAGAAACCATGGAGAGAGGCCTAACACTAGGAGCCACAGGTGTGAGTAGGGCACCTTGGCCCCTCCAGCCACAGCAAGGCCACCAGCTGACTTCACAAGTGAACATAGGCAAGAACAGAGAACCTCCAGTCATCCCACAGAACCGTGAGAATATTAAGCCACTAAGTTTTGCGGTTGTTTGTTACACAGAAATAAATAACTGACACAGCCTGTGATTCCACACCCTGCAGGTCTTCCTTTGACTCTTCTGAGCTCTCCCCAATCTCTTTCCTGAGACAATCTGCCTGGTCTTCCCTCACCACCACCCCCATGATAGCTACATTCAGTGTGGCTTCATTGAGGTGCTATGGTCTGGATGCAGTGTGACTGCAACCCCACGGGTTAAGGTGGTAGAACCTTTAAGAGGCAGGACCTAATGAAAATGATTCATTCCTGGGGTCATCACCTCCAAAAGGGATTCATGATGGTCTCACGGAGGGAGTTACACCTTATTGGAGCAGACTGAGTCCACCCCATGCCCTTGGCTCCTTCTGCATGTGGCCATTTCTCTTTCCTCTTCTCTACCATTTTGTGATGCAGTGAGGAGGGCCCTCACCAGAGGCCAAAAAGATGGGACTGTCTGGCTTTAGACTTTCAGCCTCTAAAACTGTGAGCTGAATAAACCTCTTTTCTTTATAAAGTAACCAGAGTCAAGTATTCTGTTATGGCAACACAAAACAGACTAATAGAGGGGTTTCCTTTGGTCTTCTTTTTGAACTTCCCTAACTTCATAAGTAATATCATTCACTTCCCTGGGTTCAATGATTGCCCATGTGCTGGTAACTCCTTGATCCATATCTCTAGTCCTGACTGCCCTTCTGAATTCCAAATCCATATACCCATCTGCCCATGCCACATCACCATTAAGGTCACACATGTATCTCAAACTCAGCCCATAGCTGAACTCATTATCTTTGCAAATTTCTTCTTCCTTATATATTCTCTATAATAATAAATGTCACCAGCATAAACCCCCTGACCAGAGCCAAAAGTCAGGAATCCATCATGACTCCACTTCTGCTTTGTCAATGAACTCATCTCCCTAATATCTACCCTTCTTCCAAGAGGGAGATCAGTTGAGCCTATGGCCATCATGACTGAACTCTGTACTTCCAACTTTCTGTTCAATGAAGTGTGTCCATGCAACTGAATGAAATGTAGTAGAAGAATGGGAAGTCAGTTTCCTGTAATTTGCATTAAGAGAATTAAGAGATACTTGCATATACACTTGGCCTCTTCTTTGTCTCGCTCTTGCTAACTAGGCATGGATGCTGTGCTACAAGACTGGACCATGGGGATGGAGGCCTTGGAAGTGGAGGCCTTGCTGAATGGAGCCACGGCAGAGGAACAATAATTCCAGACACCACAGAGTACCATGCCAGTGCTGAGTCCTGAGTCACCACCAGGACTTTTAAACAAAGAAGCACACTTCTCTCTTATTCAAACCACTGTCATTTATGTTTTGTGTCACATGCAGAAAACCCTCATCACACATGTTGTCACCTGTCTTTCTAATGTCACACTCTAAGAAGAGTTAAAATAGTAAAATCAGCATAACATGGATAAGGCTTTTTCTGTGCAGATATTATCTTGAAACATGAAGTTAAAAGCAAAATGAAAAGGAGCAAGAAATCTACATAGGGATTAATGAAATAAAATAACTATATTTCTCAATATAAATGAATGCATTTAGTAGTCTGATATATCTGTCAGTTTCTTTAGAATTTGGTTTATGTGTCAGTTCCCCAGAGCATGATTATATCTAGGGACACTGATGAATTCAAGTGTTTTAGACCAAAAAGGTAAAGACTAATTCAGGGTCATTGGTGAGGTCCTGTGGGGCTAAACAGCCATTCTCTCTACCTAACATTTCATTTCATCTTTTATGCTCAGCATCATAATTTACTTTCACAATGTGGAAGATTGTATTTTCTAAACACAGCTACAACAACATCTCACTTTTCCTATTATACTCCTATAATTAATGACTGGTGCCATTCCTCTTCTCAAGAGGTAAGATTTACGTTTCTTTTGGTGAAATGTGATCAGACTTGTGATATGAGCAGCACAGATACTGCATGACCTAGAAGGTTGCCAAGGCAATGTAGGTCCTTCCTGGGTCTCCTGAATACCCACTCTTGGATCCCACCCACCATAAAAGTTGAAGAAGTCCAAACAGCCTGGAAAGAGAAACTAGGGTCCAAAGCCCAAAGCACCAGTCTGCCACCTGTGAGTCATCTACACAGAGGACATCTTCCCTCCCATGTCCAGATGAGCACCTTGCTAACCCTGTGTGAAGTAGAAATGAGCTGTCCCCACTGACCCCTGCCTGACTTGCACATTGGTGAGCAAATAGATGATGCTGTTGTTTTAAATCAATATGTTTTGTGATGATTCTCTGTGCAGTAATAGATAATCAGAATAAATATTAAACTGTGGGGCTGGTTTTTTTTAAAAACATGAAAGGAAAAAAGAAGCATTTTACTTAATAAAACAGAAATCCTATTAAGATTTTGTTACCTTCACATTGCCATGTTCTGTGAGCTGCAGGTAATCTCTGGAACCAGGTTCTGATGTAATATATCCCAGAAATATCACTTGATTAGAACAATTTTTCAGTAGTTTTGAAACAGCAATAGCCTGCAGTTTCCTATCAAGGTCATCTCTAAAATAATACAAAAATATATCTCTTTATTGAACTTGCAAGACAACTTTTGACTAAGTTTCCAAAGAGTATCAGTGTACAAACCCAGAGCAATTCCTATTTCAGGAATGTCTTGATATTAACATAGACACAGTGTGTCGACTTGAATAGGCTGACCAACTGTTGACTACAAGCAACATGATCTTTTTCCACAAATCATTTGGAGTCAAGTTGATTTAAAAATCTATTCTAAATAAACCACTTGTTCAACTTTTCATTAGAAGAAATTATAGCAGTAATGTGACACCTGGCCATCAGTATTACAGTTAAAGACCCAGCAGTCAAATAAGAGTCAGGAAATACTGGTAGGAAGGAAAATCCTGGCATTCGCAGAGTGCACCCAGCTGAACACTTTCTGAAAACTTCCATGAATAAAAACTGGCTGGACATGTTGCTTTTTTTATGCTAATCACTGTAGATAAAACAAATAATTGGGCAGATGCATCAAGCTTTTTAGGGGGTTATAGTCAGTCTGGGGAAAAATAAAAACCATATTTTACATGATCCAGCCAGGATAATGCTCCAGGTGTTTCAAACAAAGTGAATTTAATATAAGAAATTGGTTGTGGAGGTGATGGGAAGCCAAACAAAGGTCAATGAAGTAACCAGAGGTTAGCAACAATGAGAAACTACTGATCTCTACAGCTAAAGGAGGGTCAAGAGGAGGTGATAACACAGTGCCTGTGGTGGAAGATGAGCTATTGAGGAGGGTACTCAGAAAGAGCTGGGACCATCCAGGGAGAAGAGAGACTCAACTGCTGCCAGAGATATCAGACAAAGCCAAGAGACAGGATGACAAAAGCCATGGCTTCTCTACTTGTCTTGCTTTCCAACCTTGTGCCTCCCTCTGGCTAAAACCACCCAGAAACCAGAAGGCAAGAGACTTGGGCAATATGATTCCCTACAATTTGTAGCCAAGAATAAAAGCAAGCAACAAGTCCAAGACAAATAGGCAATAGACTTACACAGTCATTTACATAGAAAAATAGCTAATAAATGAGGGTTAAGAAAAAATGACAAAGGAAGATGAAGGGAGATCACCAAGTACTGAGAAGATTGGAGAAACCCCATTAAGATTTGGGGTTGATCTAAAGACAGGAGTAAGTTAGATAAATATCTGTAGATAGCTGAGTGCTATTAAAAGATGTCTCAAAAAATAGAAGAATGGAAAGACCATTTGTTTAGACACTATTGATAGTGAATTCTCACAATCACTGAAGGCAGGTGGTTACTCTATTTTTAAATGAAGTTGAATAATAGGCCACAGTTGTCCTCCATCTCCCCTGCCTGGATCCATTCTTTGCTGTTTTCTATGCCTCGGGAGGATGACCCATGCAGATTTCACCTCCTGCAGACAGAAGTTAGGTTTGGCCAATTAGAGACCAATTAGCAAATGAGAAGGTGGAAGGGAGTGGACCAAAATGAGCATAGAAGTCTCCACCTGCAGGTTCTGTGCTCTTTTCTCTTTGCGTGTGACATGTGCTGCAGATTTAGAAGAAAATAAACAATGGGATTAACAGTGGCTCAGCTCATTACCTAAAATAATATCAATTTTCTTTATGATGTTTACATAAATGACTTCTAAGAAACACTGCTACTTTCTACTTAATGGTTTTAAAAGAGATATTCATAAAGTCAGTAAATTAAAGTCTCATTGAATCAGCTAATAACATGCGCAAGCAATTCTGCAAGTCATTCCCAATAGGATTTTCACATTTGTATGCCATAGTCACCAAAAATGAAATCTTTAAATATTTATTCTGGTTAATAATGTTCGTGTCTAGTATTGTAGAAAACAGGCAAACCCACGTACATAATGAGGTGTTAACTGTTTTGTCACTTGTTGGGAGGCTACAATTCATGGACAAGGATTCTGAAGAATGATAAGAGTGGGGAACCTGAGGACAAAGATTATGTCTAGCACTGTACTTCGGATATGACAGAGTTGGATTCCTATTTGGCAAATGAATTTGTTAAGTTATATAACAGACCTTACATTAAGAGTTGTCTGATTTGGTTTAATAGCAGCCAGTATTAACTGAGCACTTATTATATTCATGTATTTTGCATGACATAATGTATCTCATTTATTTCTCACAAAAGCCCTTCAAAATAGGTAGCATTGTTGCCCCTAATTATGGATAAGGAAACTAAAGCTCAACATAGTTAAATCACTTGGTGAAGGATACACACCTAGTAACTGAATTAGGATTCAAGCCAGACTCTAGGCTCTGGAGAACCATGTTCCTAACTATTCAACTACACTGCTTCTCTCCTCAGAGTTGCATCTCCTCAAAAAGTGACAGCAATTATTGTTATGGCTATTGTTTTTGCATTACTATTAAAGTATTAAGTGGGCGATTTAAGAAAAGGTGTAATCAGAGAGTTTTAAGGATGTGGTTAATATTCTCTCTTCCATGCATGTTCCCAGGCCTGCCTTTGACTTTCTCTTCCTTTTCAAGTCTATTATTTACATTTTGGCAGAGGCTGGGAGTAGTTAAAAGGGGCAGTGGAAAAAAAGCAAAGGAAAAAGAACCCAAGGACTAGATTAAACTGTTTCTTAGGTTGAGATCTTGCAACCTTTAAACATGAAAGTACCTATTTTAAAAAGATAAACCCAATTCAAATACAACATAACGTCAGTGAGATGATTTTTGAACACCTGTATTTGCTACATGAAGATTACTGCAGAGGTTAGAGATAATGTAGCCAGTGTGGCGGCAATACGCCTTTAATTCTAATATATGGGAGGTTGAAGTAGGAGGACTAAAAGTTCAAGGTTAGTCTGGGTTACGCAGTCAAGTTCAAAACTGGCCTGAGGGGAGGGAGAAAGTGACTAATTAGAGGTACCCAGAACTTTGTTGTGACCTCACAAATGTGAAACAAAACATCAGGTGTGAGCTCCAGGTAGAGGTGGTGGTGTGGAGAGGCACAGGAGGGCAACAGTAAAAGTAAACAGTATGCATTTAGAGATCAGGTAGAATCCAGAAATACTGCACTTTGGATTTATAAAAGAAACAACAGTCCCTAACATAGAGCAATAGGCAAAATTGTAGGGAAGGGGGAGAATCTCCCTCAACAGGGATACAAGCAAAAGAGAAAAAAGAAAGCTTCAGGGATCTCCAAGGTGCATAAATTGGCACTCTGCAAAAACAAAGTTTAAGACTGGTGTTCTGCATCCTGTTCAGCAAGCTGACACTGGAAAAGGGGCTCCGAAGAGTTCCTTGCTAGCTTACTGGTGCCAGGGGGAGGAGGATCATCTCAGGAGTAGGTTTACAGTCAAACATTTTAACTGGGGAGAACAGGAGATCCTGCATTGTAAATCTCCAAACCCCAAAGGTCTCTCTTGTCCACTGGCTAAACAAGACACCACCCCAAGAATCAGTGCGGACCCAGGAAACTGGTTGTGACTTGGACTCAGATTCACAAACACAGACCAACTTGGGTGGGAAGTATAAGCTATGCCACAAAAGAAAGGCAAGGGCAGATACATCAGAGGAGCTGCAGCCCAAACTCTGGTAAGAGGAGAAAGCTGTGTGTGAATAGAAGCAGGGGTTGCTATGACAGAAGACCACATACCCGGGGCACACAGGATCACTAGGTGCCCACCAGTGCAGATTGCTATGACTGCTTTCTATATTCTTAGAGGGCCAAAGAGAGTTGGTGGAAAGCAGCCACTGCTGGATAATTTCCCCTGTCAAACCCACAAAGGCAGAGTGCTACTGGTACAGGGGCATCCAATCAGGGGGATCCACTTGCCAAGCTGGTGGGGGCAGTTTGAAAGCAGCTCTTGCACTATCTTGGTTGACAGACATGTGTACACGAAAAACAACCCAGCCAGAAAGGGAGGAGAGGATTCAACCAATCAACAGTCCTTTCTGGTCTAAACAGAAAAACAGCTGCCCCACACATGAAGTAAAACTACAAAAGATAACCTGGGGGTGGGAGTAAATATAAAGCATCCCTATCTTCTTTCCCCTTAGCAAGGAAGAAGTATTGACTGGTAGACTTTTTTAAATTACCATGGTATCTTTCATTGTATTCACTTCTTGTGTTCTCAACCTTGCTATTATTTCTTATACCTTCATCCCATATACTTCACCCTCTTTTCTATCTTGTTTCATTTCTTTTTTCTTCCATCCTTGCCTTTTTAAATTAATTATTAGTACCTTAACTTTAATAATTTCTAAACTTCTAGTTTATACAATAAGTATCCTAGCTCTTGTCTTTTCTAACCTCATTGGGGGAGCAGCTGATGTTTCCAATAGTTTTTTTTTTTTAACCTCATTTAAACATCTGGATTGTCTTTGAATTATTGTTTTGCTACTGTACTGCTGTTGCTTTCTGTCTTCTCAGTGGTAGTGGGGTTTGGTAACACTAAGAGCCAGCTGCCCATTAAGAAGTTCCCTACCCAATAAAAATTTTTTTTAAAAAACTGAAAGAGATATCCATCCCAACAGATGTGGAAACACAAGACATATAAAAAAATCAAGGTAACAGGACTTTTCACAAAGCTCATAACCAACAATAACCTCAATAACCAAATCCAAAGATACTGAAATGGTTGAAATGATGGACAAAGAACTCAAAATTCTAGTTTTAAAAATGATCAATGACCTCAAAAAGGATTCAAACAAATAATGAAGTAAGGAAGTCAATTCAAAATCGGAATGAGAAATTCAGCAACATCCATGACAAATTCAGCAAGGAAATTGAAATTCTGAAAAAACAAAAACCAAAAAAATGTAAAGTAGAGGTGGGATTATTTTGGTAGAGAAAGGGGACCAGCAGAAGGTGGGACAAAAGGGAACAATAAAAGGTGAATATGATGAAAGTATATTATATACATATATGAAAATGTCACAATGAAATCGATCATATAACTAATATATGCTAAAAGAAAAAAAATGTCAACCTGAGCTACACAGCAAGACCCCGTCTCAGAAAACCAAGGACTGAGAATGCAGCTTGGTGACAGAGCTTGCCTGGCACATGCAAGGCTCTGGGTTTGATCTCCAGCACCTGGGTGGGGAGGGGTTACGGAGCATCTACAGAATCCCTTTCCCAAACATCCTTCTTATTTCTGAGGAGGCAAGCAAGAGTCTGACAGTGCATGGTAAATATTCTTTATATTTCTAATGCTTGACTTATTTCAGAAAATACTCCATATGCTTTCACAGATCCACATTAATGTGAGAAAAAGTGAGTTAACCAAAATAAAAAAATAATAATAAAGGTAGCAGGCACATTGACTTTGTTTAAGGGAAACTTACAGTATAACCATGTTGTTTTTCTAATACTACATGTGTCACTTAAAGTTCTATGGCCTCTTGCATCATTAATTTGGGCAGGATCTCTACACTTATTTTATAGCACACAGCATTTACATCTGGATTTTAAATGTTTGGTTTAGAATAGTAGAATATAAACTGCATACTTTTAGTTTTGCTTTTACCACGATTTGGCATGATTGGTATTTGCCAATGAATTATTCAGTACTAAGTCACTAACTATGACTGCAATTCTTTAGGGATAAAAAGTCTTCCTTCTTCATGTTTCTTCATAGAAGAACTGACTTAGAACGCCATGACTAGCCTCTCTCCCCACCCTTTATTTTTTGGGAAGACTTTTCTAATTAATTAATTTGGGAAGATTAACTAGACATGGCTGGTTTCAAACACTTCCTTGGAATCTATTAGTTTGCAGACAGGATATTCTCTCCACAACAGGGAGAACCTATCAGGGCTGGTCCTCCCCATGCTGGGTAGGGCCTACTGTTTGCAGGGAGTACATTTCACGTGTAGTTGGAGGGTGTATTAACATGTCCATATGATCACGGAAGCCATGCTGTCTAAATATCTTATTAATAAAAGTGCTACTTTGATCTCTACCTGTCAGATTCCTCTGCCTACCTATCTCTTATTTGTGAAAACCTGAAGGGAGAAAGGAATGTAATTTAGTACCCTCAAATCCTAAATTATAACCAATAATCCTCTAGGAAAAGGGAAGTCACTGTTTTGCACTATTATGTTTACTGTATGGTTCCAAGCACTTGCAGGCTCTGAGTTTGTCCTAACTTCTTCCTAGCTGTGTGATCCTGATTGGGCAAGTCATCTAACTTCTCTCAGCCCAGTGTCTTTATCTGTAAGATGGGTCTATAATGGTGCTTACCCTGAATAAAGTGAAGATAAATACAGTAGTGTACTTGAACCAGCACCCACACAAAGAACTGCTAAACAACTCAGTAACTGTGGATCACAAGACCCCTCGCTCTCCCATCTCTAAGCACTGCTTGCATATCAAATGTTCTGATGTCTGACTGTTAAAACAGTAACACAGGGGGGAGGGGAACAATTTGAGAGGTAAAAAAAAAGTAAGAAAGGTTATTTCATAAAATCAAAGTAATATTTTGTTAATACATCTTGGTGTTTATATAATATAAGGTAAACCAAAGAAACCCACTCGTAATTCCCAAAGTGTGTCACGACGAAATCAACCAGTTTGTCTGAGATGCTAACAGTCAGAGTTATGGCTGGTGCAATCTCGCCCTCTGGTGATGGAAGAAGGTGATGCTCCGATTTCACGATTGGGTATCTTGACAGCACCATAATCCTGTGTAGGAATGAAAAGAAGCTGCCTCAACATGGGTCCCGCCCTATCATAAAGATGGGACGAAGCAAATGCATCCGAAAGAGCTGCATCACACTACAGGCCTTCTGCTGAGGGGCACGCAAGCCACCATGTGGCAGAGCCTTCTATGGCAGTGTCCTTGTCGGTTCATTGCATCTCACTGTTCAGCATATCTTGCTGAATCAATAAGCACAGTGTCAAGTCTGTCGTAAGTGCTATGAGACATGAAAAGACAGCATTGGGAATATACAAACCATTTAACTTGCATTGTCACTCTGACAATGCATCTGCATAACTAATTCTAATATAAATCAATAGTATGGGAATGTATCTTGCCAGCAAGGACACAAAGTAACACTGTGCAAAATTAGAAACTAACAAATGTTCCATAAGCATATGAAAGGTGTTCCACCTCACTCAATGTCCAAGAGCTACCTATGAAAAGGAGGACCACAGCTCACACCTCAGCTGACCTCTCCTCCCTGGCTGCATGCACTATCTCTGTGGCTCCCTCATGCAGTCCTTCAGACAGGCCCATCTCTGCTGTGATGATACCTGGGGGTTCATTTCCATCTTACTTGGCCCTCCAGGCTAAACACTAGACATCACTTGACTGTTCTCACATCTCACTCTTAGCACATATATATATTGCTCCCCTGGGAATTTCCAGCCCACTGAAGGGCAACATCTATTAAGTATTCAGGTAAAACCCTAGACATCACCCTTGATCCTTCACAACCCTGCCGCTGACATCTTAGCCGCAGTAAGTTCCATCAGCTCTATTCCAAATAGTCCTTGACTTCAGTCTCTTCTCTCTCCACTGTTCACACCAACATCTCTCACCTGTGCTAGTGCACCTACCTCATGCCCTGTCTCCCACCTCTCACTCTGTTCTCCCCAGAATGGCCAGAATGATCTTTTCAAATGTAATTCAGATCAGATCACTCCCGTTTAAAACCCTCCAGTGACTTCTCATCACAGCTGTGTGAAAAGGGCCCTCTCTGGTCAGGTACCCTCTTTTGGCTTCATTTCTTCCAGCGCCCCCGGATCTTCGCCACTGCAGGTACCCCAAGCTCTATTCTTCCTCCAGTCTACTCTTACTGTCCCCTCAGCTCTGCCTGGGGCTTATCCTGGGTCCTTATCATGACATCCTAAGAGAGACACTCTGACAACTTTACCTATTGGCCCACTACTGCCCATGACCACTGCACACCAGGTCACTCTCTCAGTAGCTTATTTTCTACATAGCACCTAACATGATCTCAAATTACCTTATTTATTTTTTTGTGTACACATTTATATTTCCCCTCAGTATCTGTGGAAGACTGGTTCCATAATACCCAAGAAATACCAAAATCTGTGAATATGTAAGTCTTCTATAAAATCATATAGTGTTTGCATATAACCTGCACTTCTTCTCCTGAATACTGTAAATCATTTTTAGGTTATTTCGTCTAGGATACCTAACACAACACCTGCACATCACTTCATTCTTGTGAATTCAATGGAGGACTCAGTGTGTGGCAAATTCAAGTTTTGCTTTTTTGGAATTTTCTGGAATTTTTCCCAAATATTTTCAATCTGATGTCAGTTGAATCCATGAATGAAGAAGCTGTGGATATGGAATATCAACTCTATTCTTGCCTTTCTACACTAGAACAGAAGCTCCCTGCAGAAGCACCAGGTCACACAGGCCTGGCACTGTAACCTCAGCTCCTATGTTGAAGGGTTTGTCATAGTGAAGAACTGGAGATATCCAGCAACAGTAAAACCACTTTAAAAATGAAGAAATATGCACATCTTCAGTACCTCCCCATCCCCAAGAAGAATTGCTGAGGCAATTCACAGGACAAAGATGGCCGTCTCTACTTCCCACTCCAAACATTTGCCCCTTACTTTTCCAGATCTATGTGCAGGATTGATTCTCAAGGCAAACTCACCCCCAAGTGTGATCTCTTGTACTTGGACCAAAGTCTGTATAGAAACCCAACTTCTCCCCTAGCCACATGGTTATGTCATTGTTCCCCATGAAAGGCTTAGAGGCATCGCTCTCCAGAAGTGTTATAAAATCTGCACCTGTTTAAAAAAGGAGGAAAAAGCACACAGTAAGAAAACAGCAATGAATAAAGCAATTAGAAAAAATTTTTTGTCATTTTATTGAGACATGATCTCACTTTGTAGCCCAATTGGCCTCAAATTCATGATCCTCCTGCCTCAGCCTCCCAAGTGCTAGTGTTACAGGCATGTTCACCATGCCCAGCAAAACTTCATTCTTGACCTTAGCCTTTTTGTCTTTACTCATAAACCCAAAAACTAATTCCTTATGAGTCATAAAAAGAAGTGGTTCAAATCTAAGCTGCACAGGAAGTTTCCTGTCTAGAATGTAACTAATACATGGAACACTTTGAGAAAATACCGGGAAGGATAAAAGCATAACTTTTTTAAATTTCCAAATATTCTTAACATTTTTCCAAAACTTCAAATACTCTTAATGTCATTCACATATACTCAATTCATTCAGAAATTTGTTGTTCAGAAAAAATAGAATGTTACACAATAGCATTTTATTCCCAGGCTTTTTATTCCACAGCATTGGCATAGGAGCAAATTCATTGGCTTTTTTAAGACATTGGCCAGATGTGTTTTCAAAGGCCTCTAATTGAGACTAAATAAGGACAAAGGGGCAGATGAAATGTTAGTGGCACTGCATTCATAGAGCAACTCAGAAATTTCTCAGGAAGTATGTGTACCATCAGCAATAACCAGAACAATTTAACCCCTTACTTATCTCGCTGTATACTCCCTGTAGCTGATCCAAAAACAAATCACCACACACTAGAAAGGATGTTTTAGCTGGGTGCTGGTGGCTCACACCTGTAATCCTAGCTACCCAGGAGGCAGAGACCAAGAGGATCAAAGTTGGAAGCCATCCCCAGGCAAACAGTTCACGAAAACTTATCTCGAAAATACCCAACATAAAAAAGGGCTGGTGGGTGGCTCAAGTGGTAAAGTGCCTGCTTAGCAAGCTCGGGATCCTGAGTTCAAATCCCAGTACTACCAAAAGAAAGAAAAAGAAAAGATATTTTATAAAGAGATGAGCCCCATAGGGCACAGAAACAAACTTGGTCCTGACCCCTTAAAGGTTAAGGCCGAATGTTCTTTCATATGTGGAGCATAAACCTAATACAAATACAACAATATCATGAAAAACAGATCATGCTAAGGGGAGGTCACATATGAGAGGGAGGGTGGTAAAAGAAGGAAGTTAAGAAGGTTGATGTGCTCTCTATAAAAGAATGAATATAGAAATTTTTAAATCTATTGAAGCCACCAAAAGAAGGGGACTAAGGTAGAAAGAAGAAAAATGAAGATGAACCAATTCAGGTTACAATATACATGTACACGGAAATGTAAACAAGGAAACTCCCTGTGTAACTATCTTAAACAAGCAAAAATGTCATTTTTTTTTTCATTTACAAAATCAGAGGACAGGAGGGCAAAACAGGTCCTGCCTGGGCGTGGGGGTGGTACCAATGGGAGGGTGGAGGAGGTGGGGAAAGGTGGTGAGCAGGTGGATATGGTGCAAATACTGTGAACACATGAATATAAAAGCAAAAATGATACCTCTGGGAACTATTCCAGGAAGGGGCGGAAGCAGAATGATGGAGGGGTGAATTCAAGTATGATACATTGTAAGAACTTTGTAAATGTCACAATGTGCCCCCACCAAGCACAACAATAAAAAGAGAAAAAAAGGCAATTTCTTCACAAATGATCCTTACTCTTAACCTGTTCCGCTTTTTAATCCAACAGTTTACTGGTTCCCAACTGTGAGTCCCCAAGTGACAGGAGCTACCAGCAGTGGCAGCTCTAACAAGGTCACGACATGAGTCCCCTGCAGATACCCAGTATGAGGTTTGTTCAGAATCAACTGAACTAATTGCTCCGAGAGACAGATGTGGTTACAGGAGCTTAGTCCTGCAGCTGCCCGTGAAATGGAAGCCTCTTTAAATGATTAGTATATACCCCTGGTCATCCCTCCTCCTATGGCTTATGGCTTATGGTCTTGCTGAAAATAAAAATAACACTTGTAGTTTGTCAAAACCTATTACTAATTCCAATAAGACGTACCTGTCTGCTTGAGCAGCTGAGCTGATCTCTCCAGACTAGACCATCCATTATTGTCATATCCAAACCGGAAAGGCCAAATGGCAGCAGAGACCTCTTTTACTGGTACCTAAGGAACTATTTTAGTGGTAATTCGGGACAATAGCAAGCAATGGCAATTCCAGTGAATCAACTTTCTCCACTTCTCTCAGCCAAAATTCATGTTTCAGCAAAGGCATTTTACACATTTGCCCACATTTAATTCATAAAAAATAAGGAGATACTTGCTATAGATGGTCTTTTCATAAGTTTTCTGTGAACTTCTAGCTTAAGCTTGGAAGTTCAGAGAAATATTTTTTAAATGAGTGTTTATAATAAGCATTGCTTGTAATAGAAAAAATGAGAAACAGTCTAGCTATCCTTTGAAAGGAAAAAGAAATAAACAAATGGTGTTATATCCATATAATAGAACACTACACAGTTCTAATAAATGATGTAGGGCTACATACCTCCATGTGGATGAATCTCACAAAGATCATTTTAAGTAGAAAAGTAAGTTGCAAAATATATGTCAGATGCTATTTAGGTAAAATTATAAACACAGAAAAAACAATATTGTCTAGGGATCTATCCATATGTAGTAACAATATAAAGAAACGCATGAAAATGATTTACTTGAGAAAGACACCTTTCTCAGAAAAATGGTTACTCTTTCAGGGGAGAAGAATCATATAGAGAGGGATATATGAAGACCTTTGCCATACTTATAAAGTGACCAACCTATTCTAACCTGGATACAAACGGTGTTATGCCTGCCCACACTGGCAAGACCAAGGTGTGTGAACACAGCCCCCTCTAAGAGTTCTTCATTTAGGTCCATTATCCAGCCAGAGAATGCACTCCCAACCCAAGCCATCTCCTTCAAATGAACACCTCCTGATCTTGCACAGGAAGGCCACCACTCTGCTGAACAGGTCAGGTGCATGTTCCACCAGCAGTGAGCTGAGGGTTTCATCTTTATACAAGAAGGAATTTGGACTTTTGTGAATGTCATGAACAGAGAAAGGAACCATCAATAGGGATTTCCAAAGGCATGATTATAAGCATCAAGGTTCCTCACACAACTAACTATACATCTGTAATTAATTTTGGATTTCATCCCTCCAAAACCTATAATTCCTTAATTATTCCCATCTCAGTAAATGACATCTCCCACCATCCAGCAGGTCAAGCCAAAAAGCATAGATATCATCCTTGACTCCTTCCTTTTCCTCTTCCAGCAACATCCAACCTATCAATCAATCCTATCAGCCCTACTTTCAAAATATAGTCTAAGTCCTTTCACTTCTCTCCAATTCTGCTGCCACACCACCAGTCAAAATCCTCTCTCTCTTAGACCACTGAAAAGCCTCAGGACTCCTCACCCCTTCATTTTTCCCACAGCAGCCAAATTGACTCTCCTGCTTGAGATACTTCACTGTGACTTCTATTGCAAGTAAAATAAAATGACAAGTCTTTCTTCACTGTGGTCTGTGAGACCCTGCGTGATGTGGCCGTCCCTAGCCTCTCCAACTTCATCTCCCACCACTCCACCAAGTTTCCAGCCACATCCATCACTCTCATGCACCTTAAACATATCAAGTTGGTTCTCCCTCCATCCTTTATTCATGTTTCCTCTGAATCCTAGGTTTCTAAACAACTGGCTTTGTTCTCTCACCTCAAATGTCACCTTCTCAGAGCAGCCTTCTCTAACCAAGTAGATTGTCACTCTCCATTCCATGATCCTATTTCCTGCCAAACAGCCTCATCTGCAGTGTCGATCTTTATTCCTTCCTCAGAATACTGTCTTTCTCTAGTAAAATGCAAACTCTGGGAGGACAGGGAGCTTGACCAGCTTTTTACCTGTGTATCCCTGGCACCAGGAACATCAAGAGACACCCAATAAATATTTTTCAAATGAATGAATGAACAGTATTTGATCCAATTCAAATGACACCCTTCCAAAAGAATTCCTGGCTGATATCAGGAATCCTCTTCTGATGGACATAATGAAGAAACAGTTTTAAATATGTGCCAAGCACTCAGTGAAGTGATGGGAGTACAGAGACGAAAAGAGATTTTTTTTTTCTTTTTTCTCCTTGGCGGTACACGGGATCAAATCAAGTAAATTATTTCCATGACTATGTGATGTCTGTCTTGTGCTTTGTGCTTTTTAGCTGTCAGTTATTATTACAATATAATGTCCCTCATATGGTAGGTATCTAAGGTATGAAAGTCACCAAATCCAGTCTAGCATTCAATCAGAACAGTGGTCTATAAAAATATGTGTGTATAATAAAATACAGTTTAAAAAAATTTAATAACTTACCCCTTTGCCCAATTTTCTCTCATAGGCTTTATGCCGTAGTCCTAATCCCAATAACCCCACACCAACAAGCAGCCACAAAACTAAACAGGAAGAAGAAATATTTAGAAGAAATTAAACTTGCTTTTTAAATAATTTTTTTCAAAATTATTAAATCTATTCGTCAATCAGTTTGTGTGAACGTCTAACTCTTGGGTTAATTTTCATGTGTAACATGCATACATAACTCATACTTTAAACTCAGGTTTCAAGAATATTCCCTAAACATGTTCCAAGGGCCATGAACTTAAAGTAAAAATAAATTACAAAACAGACAAGAAAACAATTCTCTGTGAGCAGGAATCATCAGGAAAAGACATCCTGCAGAATTAAGCCCATAGAAACTTTAGATATTGGAATTTTCAAAATCAGAATATAAAGCTAAGCATGGTGGTGCATGCCTATAATCCAAGTTACTTGGAAGGCTGAGGCAAGAGGATCACAAGTTCAAAGCCTGCCTGGACTACACCATAAGACCCTGTGTCAAAAAAATCAAAATATAAAATAAGTATGCTATCATGTTTAGAAAAATAAAAAAGGATGCCAGGTGTTGTGGATCACACCTGTAATCTTAACTCAGGAGGTGGAGGTAGGAGGATTGTGAGTTTAAAGTCAGCCTAGGCTACACAGAGAGACACTATCCCAAAAATAAACAAAACAAAAACCCTTAAATTATTGGGCTGGGGATATGGAAAAGAAAAAGAAAAGAAAAGGAAGGGAACAAGGAGAGGGGGAAGAAGGAAGAGGGAAGGGAAGGGAAATGAAGGGAAGAAATGGGAAGGGAAGGAATGGGAAGGGAAGAAGATGGCATTCAAAAGCATGAAAGGAATGTGAGATAAAATTAAGCCATCAGAGAACTATATAAAGAAACCAAATAGACTTTTAGAAATAAAAATATATAATTATAACCAAGATCAGAAATTCAATGTACAAGATAAAAGGCAAACAGAAACAGTCGAATAGATAATTTCAATGCAAAAGACAGCACAAAAACAGGTAGAAAAGCCGAGCACCCACACCTGTAATCCTAGTTACTCAGGAAGCAGAGCTCAGAGGGATCACAGTTCAAAGCCAGCCTTGGGCAAATAGTTCATGAGACCCTACTTGAAAAAACTTATCACAAAAAAAGAGCTGGTGGAGTGACTCAAGAGGTAGAATGCAAGGCCCTGAGTTCAAACCCCAGTACTGAAAAAAAAATCAGAAGGTATAATTTCCAAACTAAAAGAGAAGTAGAAAGGAAAGGTGTAAAAAATAAAATTAAAAAAAAAGAGGGACGGGTGGAGTAGCTCAACTGGTAGAGCACCTGCCTAGCAAGCGTGAGCATAAGGCCCTGAGTCAAACCCCAGCACCATAAAAAAAGAAAAAGAAAGAATAAGAAAAGAAAGAGAAAGAAAACCTAATCAATGCAAACAGAACCAAGAAAGGAAAAGTAGAAAATGAAAAAGCAAAGTACAATGATAGAAATAGCTCCAATACCCCAGTAATTACTCTAAAAGTAAATTAAACTCTTAAGTTAAAAGACAAAGTTTGATTCTGGAACAGACAAAGCAATGAAAAGTAAAAAGATCAGGGATTGCAAGGGGCCTGGAATGGGGAGGGTAGGGTCAAAGGTAGAGCATGGGATGGAGAGGAGTGTTTAAGGCACCAAAACTATTCTGAATAATATCCGAATAGATACACATTTCAAAACCTATAGAATGAAGAACACCAAGAGTAAAGTGATGGACTTTGGGTGCTAGTGATGTTTCAATGTAGGTATATTGATTATAACTGTATCACTCTAGCTAGTAATTTTGACAGTGGGAATGACTCATGTATGTGGGGACAGAAAGTACATAGCAAATTTCTACCTTTCATTCAATTTTGCTGTGAACCCAAAACTGCTCTAAAAAAAAGTCTATGTTTTTTAAACTGTAAATAAGCTTTTCCAAATGCCTCAATTGCTGAATGAATTAAAGAACTATGGTTCTTAACTACAATAAAATGTCAGTATTAAAAACAAGTAAACAAAAACTGCTAGATCCTAGTTGTAAGGAGATATACCAAAACAGAAGGTCATGCACACACACAAGAAAATTCATCTTCCCTAAACTTAAATATGATCTTTTCACGTTATGATGAAACATATATGATGTTTTTTTAGGTTATGGTCTTACTGCTTTGTGCATGTCTTTTAGAAACATTTTGAAAATCTACCTAGTTTCTCAGTTGTCATCTAAGTCTTTATACTATAGGATTTTGTCTCCTTTGAGGGTAGACACCATTGCTTACATGTCTTTGTATCCTAAATAACAATTACTTAATTGGCACATGGCATACATTCAATAAATATTTTTATTTATTCAGCCCATTTTAAATGAGTCACATATTATAGGGCAAACTAATTTCATATTTGAGCCTCTAGTTTATCCACATACCAAATGTTGGCATAGCTAATCTTCAAAAAAAAGAACAAGAAGTGGAGTGTGTAGTCTCCATAGAACAAAGCATTTTAGAATTTCTACCCATTCGAACATCTTATTTTTGTTTCAAGTAAAGTAAAACTAGTTTGAAATGACACAAAAGCAGGGATTTACTTTAAAGTACTTAGACAAACCAAAATAGGGACGATAGCCGGTAGCAGCGTTAGCAAAACGTTGACAATTGTTGAAGCTGGGTGAAGGGCACAAGAGGCTCCAATGAACTCTAATTGCACATGTTTGAAAACTTAGATAGCAAACATTTTTTAAAAGAAACTAAAACTATACTTACGAAGTTTCATGTACTTTTCACTCTTTCTGAAAAGCACTTTATGACTGTTTTTTGTTTGAAGAAGAAAGTCAAGGTTTCTCCTAGGACCAGAGAGCATATTCAGTCCAATAATTAGCATCAGAATTCCTGTTAAAAGAGGAAGAAATAATATATTATAGTTTAACCCAAAAATTCTTCCAGTAGTAAATCCCAAGAGCCAAAATTTCTTTTCGATAAACACACGCAGGTTAATTCAGTTGTTGAATTAATTTATTCAGCACCTAAACAATTCCTTTAGTCATGCTTTCAATAATAAAGATGATCATAAGAAATGAGTTAGGGGTCTAGAAATCGTGTTCCAAATGAGAAGACCCCAGCCTTTCCCTGATTAGGAATGTCCTTGAATTTCCTAGTTGTTGGGTTGCTGATGGTATTTGTCACTGACTACTGCTTGTACAGGGACAATGGAGAACAAGAGAGAGGAATGCTCTGAGCTACGTAGAGACTCCATCTTTGCCACCAAAGAGCATTTACATGCCTAACTTGAGACTCACAGTGGAGCACATGTGGGTTTTTAATATGGCCGGGCTTCTGGCAGTAACTCTCTCTGGGCATAGATGCATGCCAGAACTCACAGTGTGCCAATAGGCTGGCCAATAAAGTTGAGCTAAGCTGGGATGTACTACAAAGTATTTTTCATATAACTTGCATATTTCTAAGATAATACATAAGAATATAAATAGAAATATGGCACAATATGTAAGTTAGATGTCAAGTAAAAGTTAAGCATAGGTAGAAGACTAACAGAAAAGTTATATCCAAATTTCAAACAAATAGCAAGAAAAACCTAGAAAATTTTATGCTAACTTCTGATATAATACAGGTTCTTTCCAACTTGGCTTAATTAAAAGCTTCTCTGAACAGTAGTGACATTCCTTGGGTTTTGTGACCACATCAACATAATGTCACTCTTACTTTTAAAAACTTCATGTTCAAATAATGCATGGTTTCTACAATCCTATATGTAGCAAGAAGGAACTCAAAAAGCTCGCCAGTCATAACATTCTAAAGAAACATGTTTCAGCACAGACTGACTCTTACTTTCATTCGTTTTCTTCACCTGGCAGATCCCTAAGCAAGCTGGAGTAAGAAAAAAGTAGGGCATTGGGCAGGAAAGCAGAGCAGGACAGAGCACACCCACCTGAAAGAAACCAGAAGAAATACAAAGTTCACAAAGCCAAGGTTACCGCAGAGGAAACGCAGCAATCGATATGTCTCTAACAAAGGGGGAACTTTTGCATCAACCAGGAATGTCAAATTCTCAAAGATTGTTTTTAAATCACACGTCACTTAATAATATATCTTCCAAAGCAGCCAGCCTGTCCTGACAGAGGTCTAGCTTATGGGGTAGGAAAGGGGGTATAAGGATGGCCAGAGTACCTGAGAACTGGGGTGGAACACATGTAGAAGCCACACCTCTCCCTGGAGGCACTGCCCCATGGAAGGCTCATCAATGCTTGCCTCACTTGTGCACAGTGTCCCCAATCCACTAACTGGGTTCTGGGGTCCAGGGAAGCCAGGTGTTTTGGCATTTCACCACTTGGCACTGTGCCAGAAATACAGTGGCACAGTGAACAAATGGAATAGTAAAATCATGGACAAACAAGAACTGGGTGCCCTGTTAGCATTATGTCACCTCCTCATTTTCTAAGATTTTGTTGTGGAAGTATGTGAGAGGTTTTCCTTAAACCTTAAAATGATTAGCAATATTTAATTTGTGTATCCCTGGTTATGTATCAGTGGTTTCATTACTGATAAAAGATAATTTCTAAAAGATTAAACAGAGGTAAGTCTGTGAGACTTTAAGTTTGGTCAGTTTACAGCTGCTAAAATGGAAAATGTATTTATTCCATGATTTAGGAATTTATCATTTACACTAAAATGCATATAAATACATTGTATACTTTACTGGTAAAATGTGGTAAATACAGATCATCGATATAATTCAGGGAAACCCCAAAACTCACAAGCCCATGATTAAAGTGGCTGTGTATGGTGGGTCACACCTTTTCCTAACACATCACATGACACAAGTGTTGCACAGTTTACACCTTATTCTGGATGAAACATTTTTCACAACTAATTCATTTGAAAGGCTTTTGGAGTAATAAATTTTACTAAAATGCATTGATGAATTAAGAAATATGTTTTTAATTATAACGTAGACATTCTTCCACATTTTTTTCTTTACCAAGAGAGTCCATTTTACTAAGAAGGCAAGGTCATCCTATTTATTTCCACCAGTCACATAAAGGGCTGAATCCTGTCCAGTCTCAGGGATATTTTTGAGCACTTTCTTTAATGCAGACCATTTAAATGTACTCACCCAAAAGCACATCAGATCTTTCTCTTGCATAGACACCTCCTGGGACAAACTTAAAAGCTGTACACCATGCACAGAAAAGCATTTCTAGAAGATAAACTGTCATAGCCATGGTCATGGTTTCCCCAGGGCTTGTCCCTGAACCAATCAGTTGTCCAAGCACTTGAGGCCACACAGACGCAGTGAAGATAGCCAGCACACAGCCAGATACAGCTGCTGCCCAGGTGCGCAAGTAAAGGAGACCTGCAGCCGAAGCTGCTCCTGTTTGGGAGAGAGAAAGGGGAGAAAAGAATTAGTGAGACTGAAAAGCAGTGAAGCTCATAGGATGACTTTTGGCCATTTAGAGCCAAAAGGGACCTTAAGGATGTACTGGTTCAATCTCCAGACAAAAGAGAAAACCAGTGTCTAGCAAGGTTAATGTGATTTGCTCAAGGTCCTAAGAAGGGATTCAGATAATTAGTGTTATAATCCTAGCAGCAATAAAACTGAAATTATCTGCAATGCCAAAAGTAAATTTAAACAGCTAGATACAGAACAGTGGAAAAAATGTAAGTCACTGTGGCCTCTAGAACATTTCATTAAGGCACTTCCCAAAGTGATTTCTGACCAGCTAAATGCTGCCCCCTGTCTTATGACATGTGCACGTAAACATGTCACCAAGTTAGCACTGGTGGGCTCACTGCTCTGGCACCTCCAGAGTCAGTTCATTTGTTATCCAACAGCCTGCTAGGTGTTGGGCTGTATGTTCTGCCTGGTCCACAGAAGACACTTAAGCAATGTTGAGCTAACACCGAGGTCAAGTAACCTTCTTCCCAATTACTGTGAAACCAGCTTGGAAACATCACTCAGGTCTACCTGCCTTGGAACCATCAATATAAGCTCTTTCCATAGACAACATGGCATTTTTGAACAACTGTTGTTTAACAGGGACCCATCCTTCGCAGAATCTATAGAAGACACTTCACTGCTTGGAGCAAGAAGTCCAGAAAAGGAGGATTGGGGTCAGAAAGTGGCTCCATTCAGCTCCTTAATATCCCTTGGCTCACATTCATCAGTAAGACCCACTTGCATTGCCCTGTGGCTGTCTATTACTGTCACCTCCAACAGGAGCACTGCTCAGATGAGCCTAAGAACCAGATTCTAGGTCCTCTACAACCCATAGTGAGACCTTCAAAAGCTTACATCCTACAACAGGAATTTTCATTTTGAAATAAAATCACTGTAATTCCTAAAGTCATGCTGAAGAAAAATTTTAAAATACCAAACTATAAAGAAGCAATGAAAGGTCAGGTACCAGTGGCTCTTGCCTGTAGTCCTGGCTACTTGAGAGGCTGAGATCAGGAGGATCGAGGTTCAAGGCCAGCCCAGGCAAATAGTTCATGAGGTCCCATTTCCAAAATAACCAGAGCGAAATGACCAAAGATGTAACTCAAGCAGTAAGTGTACCTGCTTTGAAAGTGCAAAGTCTTGGGTTTAAACTCCAGTCCCACAAAGGAGGAGGAGAAGGAGGAAAGAAGAAGAGAAGGAGAAGAAGGAGGAGGATGAGAAGGAGGAAGAAGAAGAAGAAGAAGAAATAATGAAGGATTGCCTAAGACTAAGACCGACATGACCACAGGCATGTAACAATGGGGTATACTCTGAAATGCATCATTAAATGATCCCATTGTTGTGTGAACATCATAGAGTGTACTTACTCAAACCTAGATGGTGAGCACACCATCTACCTAGGCTACCAACCTTTATTACATATTACTGCACTGAACACTGTAGGCAATTGTAACACCATGGTAAGTATTTCTGTATGTAAACGTATCTAACATAGAAAATGTATGGTCAGGAAAGGTGCAATAAAAATAGTAGGTATTAGGAATTTAATAGCTCCATTATAATCTTATAGGGCCACCACTATATGCAGCCTGTCACTGACCAAAATGTCAATATGTGGTGCATGACTATATTTCTGTGTATTTCTACATAGCTTCTTCATATATACATATATACATATATATATATATGAATGAATGGAATTATACCACATATTAAGGCTTACATCCCATTTTTCATGTGATGTTATATTTTCTATTAACATTTTCCTAAAACATCTTTATGTATAAATAATACTCCACTGGATAAACACAGTACGTGTTATCATTTTCCTATTGTTGGCCATCTTAGGAAGTTTCCAATGTCAGGCTTTTAAAACAAAAATGCGATGAATGTCTTTCATTGTCAGCAAATCTCTTACCAGATCTTTGATTATTTCCTTAAAGCAGCTTCCTGCAGTACAGCCTCTGTCAAGGGGATAAGCACTTTAAAGTTATGACGTGTGGCCAGAAGCTGCCTTGGAAGGTGATTTCAGTCTTATCCACCTCCAGAAAACTTGGCAGAAGTCTCCACCAACCTTTGAAACCTTGCCAAAACCACTTCTTTCTAAAGCTCATTACCAAATCAGTGAGGAAAATGGAATGACATTTTAAATTGCTCTTATACGTTTATTAGTGAGATTGAATTTTCCCTGTTTTCTGGCTTACCATGACTGTTTTTTCTTTAAAAAGATCTTAAATTGATATACTAATCTGAAGATGTTAAAAATGATTTTGTTTGCTTTAATACAAAGAATTATCTGGAGGGAAAGAACATTTCTTTAAACTTCCTTTGACTATTACCGCTTTAATTTTTAATTTAGTTTTCATTTTAAAATGGGTTCTACATTTTTAATTGTATTTGTAAGCAAGTTATACATTCCAAGGCCAATAAACAAATGGTAGAAAAGGGACCTTCTGACCTTCGTCATCCAGTAGGTGCCTTTAGGGAAGGCAACCTATGTTAGCACACGTTTCTACACCATTCCAGAGATGCTCTATGCATACAAAGAAATATATGTGCATTTGTATTGTCCTCCCTTTTTGTACATCAGTAGTAGCATATGGACATACTGTAGTCACTGTCTTTTTCACTTAACTGTATACCCTGACTGCTTCTTCTTTGTTTGAGACAGACCTTTCCAAATAATCTCCTCCAAATCTTCACATAATAAGATATCAAGCAGAATTCATGGTAATTGATATTCCAATAACATGTATAAGAACTGACATGCTAACTGGGTATGCTAAAATACACCTTTAAACCCAGGTACTCAAGAGGTGGAGATAGGAGGAGACAAGTAGAGATAGGAGATAGATAGGAGATAGAGGTGATTTGAGGCCAGCTGGAGCAAAAAGTTAGCAAGACCCTATCTCAAAAAAAAAAAAAAAAGCCAAGCATGGTAGTACATGCCTGTGGTCCCAGGTACTAGAGAGGCATAGGTAGGAAGACGAGGATCCTAGCCAGCCTATCTGGAGACCCTATCTGGAAAAATAAGTAAAGAAAACAAAGGGCTGGGGGTATGACTCAAGTGATAGAGTGCTTGTCTGTCAAGCATGAGGCCCTGAATTCAAAAGAAAATTTTAAAAAGAACCAATATGTTAACTTTCAACAAATCAAGGTTTTCATCGATAAAATCATATACACATGACCCAGTACACTGGGTCCCTATCAGGGCTTTCATTGTATGTTTTTCCAGTGTAATTTTGATTTTACTAATTTAGTTGCTATCAAATTTAAAGCCGCTCCATCTTTGCTTTTATGAAACACTTTAGTCAGTGCCATAATTAATTTCATATGAGTCCCCAGTTGGGAATGTAAACTTAAAAGCATAATAGGAAAATGTGATTCATTTTGCTGTGCTCTGTTTCATCGAGTGGTTTCCAGAGAAGAACCACAGTGAGAAGTGGGCACCGTTTCCAGATAATGAAGTGTGAGGTCTGACTTATTTCAGGCAAGCAGGAGATCAGACATGGAGATAAAGCTCATGAATTATGGCCCTGTTTCCTCTACTGCAAACAGCCTGTTGCAAGCCTTAAATCTGCCTCCCTTGAAGTCTTTGAAACTGTTACTTAATACTGCAGAGAGACAGCAAAACTAGACTCGGCTCGACACTCAAGGATATGACCTCAGTTACATGGGGAATGAACAGTAAGTTCATGGCTTTTCTGTTCTTTAACATTCTGTGCTTCTATCTTCCTTAGTTTTCTTTTTAAAATGAAGTTGCTAACTACCAGTCCAATAAACACTTTGCTTATATTTTATAAGAAAAGGCATGTTAGCTGCACATCGGTGGCTCACGCCTGTAATCCTAGCTACTCAGGAGGCAGAGATCAGGAGGACTGCAGTTCAAAGCCAGCCTGGACAACAGTTGGCAAGACTCTCTCTCAAAAAAACCCATCACAAAAAACGGCTGGTGAAGTGGCCCTGAGTTCAAATCCCAGTACTGAAAAACAGAAAGAAAGAAAGAAAGACACAGACATGTTATAAATGCTGGATAAACTTTTGGTGAATTTTTTTTCCTGTTCTAAATTGCATACAGATTAAGAAGCTATGTGTGCTCATTACAAACAGCATGAAGCAAGTTTTCTGGCCCTTTTCCTCAGGAATCTCATGAAGCCACTCTCTGATGAGAAGAAAGTTTACTCCTATATACACACCAACTTCCAGACTCCAGATTGGATGCCTGCCCCAAAACATACTAGCAAGTAACATCAGCTCGACATGACTGCAACAGTCTGCACATACAGCTGCAGAAGAAAGAGGACCTGGCCAACACCATTAATTCAGCAGCCTGTTTGGACTTCACTTACATTTCCACACAAGGCTGAAGGCACTTAGGGTGTGCAGAACCTTACTTACCATGCTTTTCTTCCTGCATCTTCTATTACTGATACACACAATCTTGCAGCATCTTAGGGCAGCACTCTAAATCACCCACTTAATTAATATGTATAGAACATCTTAATGCCAACAATGACTACTGTATAACCATTTCTGCCTTTTACAGGGAAGGAGGAGGAGTGGCATGATTCAGTTGCAAGACAACGCTACTCATATCACAAAGACTAATGGGAAAGTGAAAAGGGTGGCCTGAAGTATGACAGCCTTCATCAATATTCCTGGGATGCTAAAGGGTGTGACCAGAGAGAAATGGTCTAGGTCTTTGAAAAAACAAACAGGGATCCCAAAGATGAGTAAAAGAGTGGGGAGCAAAACCATCACATGTAGAAGAAAAAAGGAAATGTATATCATTTTGGAATCAAAAAGGGCACCCCTTAAAAACAGAGAAGCAAGGAATCTTGAACAGAGAAAGAGATCTAGCAAGCAGCAATGAACAACCTTCTAACTCCTCAGGAAAACATGCTACTTCCTCCCTGTGCTTTTGTAAGTATTTTTAAGGGAGGTATTATTACAAAAGTGTCATTAGCTGGTAGAGTGGCTCACATGGTAGAGCACCTGACTGGCAAGCATGAAGCTCTGAGTTCAAACCTCCGTCTTGCCAAAATAAATAAATAAAAGTGTCATTAGTCTGTGGGAATGGGATATCCACAGGTGAGGGAGAGTAGAAAGAAGCAGGAGTCTGGAACAGATAGTCACCATAACCTTGGTGACATCTGGGTTGTACTTGCCACAGCTGGTTGCAACAGTCTATTTGACCAGAGTACATATTTTTATGTCTGCATCTTCTTCCAGTCTAATTGCACATGCTTGCAAATAAACTGGAGAATCAAGCTCAAAGATGTCGTATTTGCAGGTAAATTCCATATACCTGTAACCCACCACATTAAACCAGCATCACGAAACCTTGAACAAGTTGAAAGCATCAATCCACTTGCCAGGCCAAGCAGAATTGCACCTCTGCAAAAACAAATAAATAAATAAAAATTAAAAACGTGCTATAAGACATAAGGTGTTATTAATAATAGCCCATTGTTCCAATGTAAAACAGAAATTTATCTCCTTCCTACAGATACATCCAAGAGATAATATGAATACGAGACAACCAATGAGCTAACAAGAGCCTGTTGGGAACCAATATTATAAAATTTAGAACATTGAAGTAATAAAAACTTTGACTTCAGACAAATGGTATGTGTAGTCTTTCAGTCAAGGTAAACACAACACTTGAGTTTTCTCAGACTCTTCAATTATAGTCCATACCAGACATGTGACATTTTAAATGACTCTGCCAAAGACCAAAGAAAAAAATCCCAGTCAATCATTCCTATGTGTAGGACTGATTCTGCTTTTATGTAGTCTCTGCTTTCCTGAGACAGAGTCAATATGATCAGTTACTGACAGGTGTGCGAGTGTGTATGTGTGTGTGTGTGTGTGTGTTTTAAACAAACTATTTCATTCTTTGGTTACTTTGGCAAAATACCCCTTTGGCAGAGGAGCACACAGAGGAAAGAATATTTTCTCATCATGGCACTGTGGTCTAGACTGTAATGGGAGGCTCTGAAGGAATGGCTGGACTTTCCCTGACACCAAGAAGGCTCAGGGTGGAGATTCCTTGTGGTGCCCATACAGGAACTCAGTAAGTTCTTAGGCACGACCCTCAGTACCCCTCATGTCCCTTCCCACAATTCCCCAGCCCAGACAAACACCCTTCTGCCTCTCATCTCCAGAGGTCATAGTAATTTCAGACATCTTCTCTGATATGGAGGGTGAATGGATGTGAAACGTCCAGGTAGCTCAGATCTGGCTGTCCCACAAACAAGAAGTTTCTTCCTCCAGCCAGATCTGCCAGTTTCTTAATTGCTTTTGAACCCAAACTCACCCAAATGGGTTAGGATCTGGCCCTGGATGAGGGTGACCACTCACTGCCCATCTGGAAACAAGAGAGACCTCTCCAAAGATCCAGTGGGTGAGGAACATAAGACTCCCAAAGGCAGCTCCCGCCAGTAGTCGTCTAGGTCTACTGGTTGTGGCCTTGGCTGTCTCGCTGCTCTTCCTCTGTTCAGGTTCAGTGCAGTCACCATCTAGAATCAAAGAGGTAGGGAGAGTTTCGTGGAAATGTGCTGTGTCTACTCATCAGACTTAGCAGTAGGACCTGACACCTGGATTCAAGGAGCTTCCTGAAGAAGGGGAGATGAGATGTGCAACTCTGATAGAGCCGAATGTGTCCACTGCTATGTGAGAGAGATGATTTCTGGCAGGCTAGGTAAGGAATGGTTTAAGGGAAAGCAAAGATTTTGGAATCTGACAAGTTAAAAAAAAAGCAGAAAACTGCTAAATTCATGTGAAGTTAACAGAATGAACAAAAATATATGCTCAAGAAGTGAATGACATGTTCGGGAACAAATGTTATCTGATTTGAATAGAACATTTCTGTATGCCAGACAGCTAAAAAAAAAAAGCTTGCCTAGCAAGTGTGATGCCCTGAGTTCAAGTCCCAGTACTGCAAAAGAGTAGGGGTCTTTTTGAACCCTCTGTACACCCAGAGTAATAACTCCTTGATCCAGCCCTTTCTACCAACTCACTTACTTTTCACCACCTTATGAGGTATACTCTACTAATAAACCCACTTTACAGATTAGAAAACAGGCCCAGGGAGAGCCATTGATTTGTCCAAGATCACACAGCTAACAAAGAGAAACTGAGACACCGGGATTGGAGGTTAAGTGGTATGGCTCCTTAACTGCCCCACAATTCATGGGGCAATTCATGCTACTGTTAGGCCAAGAAGCTCCTTCATCACAGCAATGACTTCACACACAAAAATGTAGCCACTGCAGAAAATGGCAGCAGGAGAATTTCTTTGTAGGAACACAGACAGCCTGTTAGGCAACTGCTTTGCCACACTGGGAAGGCCTCTGCAGGACAGAAGAAAGCTCTTGGGTCTGCTTGGGGGCGGGGAGGCAGTTTGGCAGTCTGATGTCATAAGGAGAAAGAAAATGATATCAGAGGAAGGATCAGAGCGGAAAGCTATGGGAATGGGGATGGGTGGAGATGTAGAGAAGATAGAAGGAGATCAGGGGCCTAAGCAGAGTCTTTAGAAAAAAAAGAGGTATCTAAGTTGAATTTGCCCAATAAGATGCAGTGAACTACAGCAGGTGACTCAACCCACCAGGACCCAACAAATCTTCAAATAAATGACCAAAAACACCTGCTGTGCTCAGACACCCAGGGGAAGCAGGGGAAGAGCCTGAATTGTGGAAATGGGAGCATAGGACAGAAACAGAGGAAGAGACTGACAGCCAGCAACTGGGTCACATAAATTTAAAACAGAGCCAAGAAAGGAGAAAACAGAAGTCAGGAAATGCAAACAATACCTGAAGTCCACATCATTATCAGACTGTACTGAGACAGGTGCTACCAAGTGTGCATGCCTATGTGGGAGTGTTTTATAAAACATAAAACTGTAACAGGGGACTGGACTGAGCACCAAACGTTCTAATGTTAAGATCACATGACTCCTTTTCTCACTTAATCTCCCAATTGTTGTTGCCCCTGTTTCAAGCCAAAATTGGAGCCATGGGGGAGAGGGGATTATACAAGCACTTTTTAGTTTGTGCTGAACAAATAGGCTCTCCTCTTCCGTTAATCTGTGTGATTTGTCCTTGCATTTATAAGCGAACAGTGAGTGACTCACTGAGTTACACACAAAGCCAGGAGAAAGTTGATTCGATCCCAGGAACACTTCTCCCTTCCTTTTAGAAGAAGCTCAAGTTGGCATGTGAAGCAAGCACCCATGCTAGGCTTGTTTATGTATCTGAGATGTCAGCTCCTGTGAGAGAGGCAGCTTGAAAAGTGGTGCACATGTGAAAAGATTTCCTCTCTTTTCAAGCTTCAGATTTGGAGCTTTGGATCCCTGGGTATAACTTTGGCAGTTGCCACAGCTGGATCCCTGTAACTCTCTAGTCTCATAGTTGTACCAGGGTCAGTGTGAGGTGGAGGATGGAGGATCCCATGCTGAGGGGCGGGGCCAGGTCCAAAGGAAGAAGGAGGAAGACAGCTGAAACCCATGAGCTGCAAGTGTGAGGACTGGTTCTAGTCTCCCACTGACACAGTGGTACAGGCCACACTAGCAAGGAACAGATGTCCTCTGCTTAGATAACAGCTCACTGGCTATCAGTTACTATTTCAGAAGAGGGACAAGCTGAAATGGAGATACAGTGTAGAAAAACTATTTTTATTAATTTCCAGGTATTGTACATTCATATAGAAAAGGTAAACTCTGCAGGAGAGAGACAATGCCTAAATGAGCTGGACACCCACTTACCTGTGCCAATGCGATCAAGTGTGGCTATGGTACTTAATGTCAGTATCACTCTGTTGGACATCTGATAACTCCAGATTGGGTTGAGTGAAGTGTACCAGATGCGGAGGACAAGAAGAAGAATCTGTCCTAAAATGAATCCCCAGATTCTGAGGTACCTGCCAGTGCAAAATTGTTGTTGAAGACTTTTTATATGGATTTGATATGCTTTACCTGTTGTGAGTTTCAGTTTCATAGAATGAGTACCTGAAATTGTCTTGTTGGTAATTTGCAACTGTGTATTTCATTTAGCCCTACCCCATTACCTATCTAACCCAGACAACGTGTAATAATTCTTTAACTCAAAACATTATTAGGGCTGGAGGGTGTAGCTTGATGGTAGAGTGTGTGCTTAGCATGTGCAAGGCCTGGGTTCAATCCCCGGCACTATATATAGATGAGAGAGAGAGAGAAAGAAAGAGAGAGAGAGATATGCCAAGTATTCATTCACATCCTAGTTTAGTGAAAAGAAAAAGAAAACTTCTTTTTCTACCAGGTCATATGGAAGGTAAAAACTGTATCTAGCAAAACCCAGCCCCTAGTTTCTCTTTGGAAATTGACAATATCTGTTTGTCCACAGGTGTATAAGATATGAATCATACCTTTGCAAGCCACTTCCTGACCACCATGTCACGGCTTGCACTATCAGCGAGGAAGACACACCAAGCGCAAGGACCAACAGTCGAAGTTTGGCATTTGGTGCCTCGAAGGAGGCTATGCCGCCTGCAAGCAGAGCAAGGAGAGCTGAGCATTTCTGGCAAGCATGCATTAGTCCACAATGTGTGCATCTGATAAAGGTTGTGCTTGGCACCATCTTTCTACTCGAGAAGAGAAGAGTTAATATCTAACTACCTGCACATCTTTTAAAAACTTTTATTTAAATGTAACTCACATACCGTAAAAGTTACCATGTTGAAAGTATACAACTCCATGGCTTATTAGTGTATCTACAAAGCTGTACAACTATCACCACTGTCTAATTCCAGAACATTCTTATCACCCCAAAAAGTAAATCCCAGATCCATTTCATCCATACGCAGCATGTATCAGTCCTTCCCTCCATTCATTCATTCTATTCGTTGTATTCACCCGTCATTCTTCTATTACTTTAGATACCATTTCATTCCATGGATACATATTGCATCTTGTTTACCCATTCATCAGTGGATAGGCGTTTGCTTGCTTCCTTTCCTTGGCCCTCATAAATAATGCTACTATGAACATTTGTGTACAAGTTTCTGTAGAAACCCATGTTTTCATTTTGCTTGGGTCTGCACCAAGGAGTGAGCTCTTGGGTCATATGAGAACTGTTTACCATATTGACGAACTGCCAAATGGTTTCCCAAAGCAGTTTGCCATTTTACATCTCCTACATTTCCACCAGCAATGTGTGAAGGTTCCAACTTCCCCACATCCTTGTCAGTGCGTGGTATTATCTGTCTTTTTTATTATAGCCATCCTAGTGAGTTAAATATTTATGGGCGAAAATAATTTAAATTGATGAATATAAAGCAGTTTCACAGCTAATTACATGGTAATTGACCTAAGATACCAGAGGTGAGTCAGCACTCAGGCCTCTGTAGTTATATAAAAACCCCTTAGCTCTTTTTAAAAACAAAGTTGTGTCCTATCATTAAGAAGCATTTGAAGGGTGTTGCAAGGCGACACCATGGCTGACTGCAACCTCTGCATAGCATCACCTATGCTCAGCGGCCACCTGGAAGAGTGCTCGCCAGAGACTGGCCTTCCATTCTTTATCCTCAACTCAGAGCAACTTTCCCTACCTCCTCTTCTTTCCCAAGGGCAGTTCTACTTCTGCTCAAGCAGATAAGTTCTCATGGAGGAAGTTGGCAAAAGGGCACCAGAAAGCTCACAATCAAATACCTTCCCTACCCCAAACTTATGGAATATTACATCCCTTATAGCCACTGTCGCTGACAAAGCTGAACTTAAATGATGAAAAATGCTCCCAGTAACTGCTACTGGGAGGCTCTGTAGGGGAGGCCGGCACAGGCAGCCCTGTGCAAAGATGAGGAACAGTGCCTCAGTTTGGGGTAAAAAGCTTCATTTTTATGATTTCCGGAGCTGAAAATTTCTTGATTGTTTGGTGTACCTTTCAACACCTCTGGATGCCATCTTTAGAAAGCGCACCATTTCCAGGAGTCCTTCTTCCCACCGTCCTTTCTGAGCATGAGCTGTTTTAAAAACAAGAGCTCCCTATCTCCATGGGACCCACAGGACTCCCTCCACCTACTATATTCTGCCTTTCTCAGGAACCAACGGACAGAAAAGCAGACTGCAATTTCCTAGTGATTCCTGGCGTTGCTTCTGAAAAAGTCAATTGACTACATCCAGACAGAAGAGGTGTGATTGTGGTCATGAACAGAGAAACCTACTGCATCACAGCAGAAGGGCAAAAATCCAGCCTTTTCACCTATGGATCCAAGTAGTCTGTTGTCTGGCATTTTTCCTTTTTAAAATCTCATTTCCTTACTTTTTTGCTATTAGTACTTCCCCAAGGTTTCTCACTCTTTATTAGTATGAAAAATCTCAATTGTTTGTGATAGCAAAGTATACATTTATATTTTTATTATCTTTCACAATGTAATAAATTCAAATCCAGAATTCAAAGGTGCAAAAGTTATACATTACAAAGTTTCCCCTCCAGACCTCTTCAGGCACCACATTCTCTACCCTAGCAGCAATGCTACCAATTTTTGAAGTCCTCTTAGAGATATTTAAGTACGTTCAACCAAATACTAACTATATTTTCACCTAAACTTTTTTCTATAAAGGTTGGCATTCTGTATGCACTATTTAATACAAGCTTTTTCCCAAAATATATTTTGAGGAACATTTCTTTTCATGATGTTAATAATATTCTCTTTTTTATAGCTGCATGGTATTCTATAATATTCCAAATTTCATTACCTCAATTTATTTAACCTATTTCTTAGAAATGACATTTGGGTTATTTCCAACCTTGCCATTGTAAATATCTCTGCAATGATAAATAATCTCATATGCTTACCATTTTGCATGTATGTGAATATATCTGTAGGTTGTATTTCTAGAAGTGGAACCCTGGGTGAAAAACTATGGACAGATTTGTGATTTGCATAAATACTACTAACCTGCCCTCCACAGAGGTTGGGCCAATTTACATGCCCACCAGCAATGAATATTCATTTCCTACCCTTACAACAGTGTTGACACTTTTTTCTACCCATTTATGACAATATAGATAGATGTGTGTATAATTTATATTCTGTACTTTTATCATATTTTAAGAACTAATTCTATTTCCTTTCCAGTTACCAACCATCTCTTTTCCCCTTTCTATTATTGGTTTGTAGGAACTCTCTATTATGGAAATTAGCCCTTTGAGTAAGAGTTGGGAGTAATTTTCCCATTTGATGATTGCTGTGTTGTTTTGTGCATAATTTTCATATTTGTCATGCAATATTATTTAACAAACTTTTAATGGCTTCTAAGTAGTGTGTCATAGTTGGAAAGAAAAACACAACATCCTCAAGGGTACTTTCCCCTCTTCATTTCACTGATTTATGTGCCTTTCCAACCTGGCATAAATATTAGAAATATAAGACATACAAAACGCTCAGTCTACTCTTGCAATTCTATTAAAACTTTTCTAAGGAAGTAGTAAGAACATCATTGATTTTTGAAATTTGATCATTTCATATGCAATGAACAGTCATTTTATTTGATTTTTAACTAAAAAGAAAAATCTTAGCAAAACACTGAGATCTTACCGATAGTAACGATCCGCAGCAGAGTCAGCACCCACTTCTTCTTAACCAGTTTCCGGAAAGGAGTAATTGTGAGGAGTGCCGGAGAAAGAAAGGCTATACCAAAACCTTCCTGCCCAGTGAGCGCCAGTGTTTGCAGGGGAAAGTAATAGATCATGGGGCCCAGCCCATGGTAGAGAGACCAAGAAACATAGCCTAGAAGAAACGTTTAGAGAGAGAATGTGACTTTGCTGTTTTTCTAACAGCAGTCCTGCCACTCCACTCCCACCTCCAGTTTCCTGCCTCCAGCTTTAACCGGGTGACAGTAACAGAATTCTTCTCCCTGCCCATCAGCCTCTCCTCCCTCTCCCCTCAATCATGCCAGGTGCCTGCAGTCAGTTCTCTTCATCAGAATCATCTGAGTTGAAACTACCTAAGTTGACCCTTAGGTATGCAATAAGAAGTACCACGAAAGTCAAAATGAGCAAAAATATCAGGACTCCCACTGTTCACCACAAACTGCACCCAGAAGTCCTTTAGTAAATCAACATGAACTTTTTTGTAACTAAACCATGTTCAACCCAGCCTTTAGGGGGCAGAGTAGAGGAACACCAGATGTGAAGTCAGCGGCACCTCTGCCGGCAGCTCTGTGATCTTGGGCAACAGTGATGATTAAGGCTCCTAGGCATTCCCACAAGTGCTAAGCTCCGCCGACCACTAACACAGTCGGACTCTTACTCCTCAAACAACCCCATGTCCTAGGAGGTCAATACTCTTTCAAGTGCGCCTTACAAATGCAAAAACTAAACAAGAACAAAACAACAGACAAAATACTGACACTCAGACAACTGAAGTAATTGCCTAAGCTGCGCAAGTAGCAGATAGCACCGTGAACTTAAATCCAAGCACTCTGCGAGTGGAACCTTTCTCTCAAGTTCCTTCTCAACCTCCTTTTGTTAGTCAGCAAAACATGGCTTTCAACCAACCTCAGAATTGTTAGGAGGACTGCATGAGATCAAATACATCTGGTTAGGAGCTGGCATGGGAGAAACTTAATATTAGTCACTTCTCATCTCCCAACTTGTAAAATACAAGTTGGCTCTCCTGAGCAGTACCTGCTTCCAGAAACTAAATTCTCAGAAGAACGCTCTCCCAAGCCACAAGGATGTGTGTTACCTGAAAAAGCGTGGGATTCTAGCGACTTCCCAAACGTTCATCTGGTAACTCTGATTTTAATCATACAGAATCCATCAGAATTACAATAAATAAATCCTAGGTACTTTTTGCAAAGCTGCTAAGTAAGCACAAGAAACTAGAGTCAGATACTTTTTTGCCAAAGCCCAAATGTGCCACCGCCACCAAGGCCACTGATGCCGTGTCAAGGCCAAGGACAGAAGTTACCACCAGATAGGTGCTCACGCACTGCCCCTGGGGAAAACAGGTGTCCCTTTCTTAGGAACAGTCAAGTTCAAGTTCAGTACTGAATTGTGTTGAGTTAAACTTAAAGGTCACGGGTGGGGCTGCGGGGACTGCACCGACCGCGCGGATTCAAGGTCGACCCACGGACACCTCGCAATCCCAGCGCGGCGTGGGAGCTCCGGAAGCTCGGTCTCCCGCTGGAGCGTCGCCGAATCCGCGGCTCCCGAACCTCAGTCTAGGTCTTGTCTCTTATTCCCTTCCGTAGCTAAAGTTCCCAGGGGACGATAAGCATCTCCATTCTGGGCAGCGAGCGCGCTATTCCCCTTCTCGGAGCTCAGCCAACCTGGTGGGGCGCCGCGTTCCGGAGAAGGCTGGGGAGGGGGGGAGTCTGGCACCTTCTACCACGCGGCGAGGGCAGCCTCGACTTACCCAGGAGGGTCTCCAGGAGGATTTCTCTCCATAGCGAGGGCATCACTGCGGCGCAGAGCGGCACGCTAGCGATGCGCTCCCGGCGGGCCACCGCGTCTCCTATCCGAGTCAACCGCCAGCCCGCTTGTGTGCCGGTCGCCGGCCGGCACGCGGAGCCGAGGAGGGGTGGGGCCCGGCCCGCCAGTCCCTTCCCCACCACACCCAGTCCAGCCTGACCCCGCCCGATGTCACCTGTGCGCACTGCGCCACTGCGGGAGCCTCTAGTCCAGCGCTGCAGCCTCTGCCGCGCTGCTTCAGGGGCACGCGTCCCCTGCGCGGAGACTTGCGGGTTGGAAACCAGCCATTCGGCCAAAAGCAGGTTGCCTTGCCCCTGGTGCGGCAGCCCCGAGGATGGAGCGCTGCCAGCGCCCGGAAGAAAGGGACGGATTCCAGATCAGTGGTGCCCTGGATTGAACGAGGCCCAGAGGGCCGAGAGGAAGGCAGGAAACCCTGATGTGGCAGCCTGAGCTGGAGAAGGACGCGGGAAAGACGCGCCCCGGAGCTCTGGGCCCTTCATTCGCCACTTAGTGCGAACCTTACCTTGGCGTTCCTCAGGTCAAGGCACGAGTGCTCAGGGCGAAAGCCACCCGACTGCGCTTTTTCTCAACTTTGGTAATAAAACACACACAATTTGTCCGTTGCTTTCTGGAAAGGTGGCTAGAAATTCTAGTAGTTGCAGGATTTTCTAAGGTTTTTAGAGACCTTGCAACATTTGACCGGGAAAGAGAAAACTGACTTGGGGTGGAAATTTTGACCTTCCCAGCTTCAGAATAACGATATTTGAGTGTCCATTCCTATAAAAGTGGAAGATGTTTTTATTACTTCCGGTTATTTCTCCTTCAAATATTATCACATCCCAGGATGTCTTGAACTTTTTTTTAGCACTTCCTCAAAGCAATTGTTTTTTAACTCACTTTAATCTTTTAAAAGAGTTTATCGTTTATCACTTCTGGAAAGTTCGATCTGAAATTATACAGTGATGTGGTGACCAAAGGTACAAAATTGCTTAAAAGTAACCATTGCTATTAAGTCCATAACAGATTTGAGCAGAGTTCCTAATCACTTACTTACTCCTACTCAGTCATAAAGATAGCTGTATAAATCAATGGAGTAGAATGGAACAGTCCAGAAACCAGCCTTCCCATCTAGGGTCAATTGACTTTGCCAGGACAGTCACGTGGGAGAAAGAAATCCCTATCTCACACCACATCGGAAAACCAATTTAAAATGTAAAAGATCAAACTATGAAACCGTTAGGAAAAAAACATAGCAGTAGATCTTCATGATTTTGAGTTAGACAATGGGTTCTCAGATGCAACACCAATAGCACAAGTAACAAAAGAAATAATAGATAAGTTGGACCTCAACAGAAGTTAAAAGCTATTAGCCTGGTGCAGCAGTGAGCACTGTAGTCCCAGCTACAGAGGGGACTGAAAAGGAGAATCATTGCCTTGGGGTTTGAGGCCAGCCTTGGAAACAGTCAGACCTCATCTCAAAAAAAACCAATATTTTTGCTTCAAAAGTCTCCATCAAAAAACATGGAGAAAAAGACTGAGTGTAACACAGCAGTGCCTCGGGCCCTGGGTTCAATCCCCAGCGTACACAAAAAGAGTGAAAAGGTAATGTACAGAATGGGAAGAAATATTTTTAAATCGTACATCTGTTCTAGCACATCTACTTCCAGGGGGGCTTTCTCTGCATTCCTCCTTTGGTCTATTGAAAAATGTCTCCCAGTGTGCAGAAGTCCCTGGGCTATACCATGAAAATTAATAATGCAATTTTAGAAAAGCTCTTGGTATCAATTGCCTTTTTAGCAAGAAAACAAAGTGGGAGGATTAGAAGATCCATTCATCCTTCTAGTCTTGACTTCTTAGCATTCTGCACATATCCAAAGGTCTCTTAGGAAACATTCTCGCTATCAGGCACTATTTTTCCTCAAGTATACAATTTTATCAATTTGTAGACACCTCAAATCACACTGTGAAGTAACTGTCAATGAACCTCTCCTCTATTATAGACTGTAAAATTTCAGGCCATGGAAAGCACTATATTGCTCTCTCTCCCCTCAGCACCTGGCCGACAACGATGGCCGTAGCGCTCTTCCCTGCTGCTCTCAGAACTGGCCTCAAGATCTTCTCAGAGCTAATGATAAGATAAACCAAATGGTACATATCTATGTAATGGAAAATTATTTACTCATACAAAGAAATGAAGTACATGCTACAACAAGGATGAATCTGGAAGATATTATGCTAAGAAGCCAGACAGGACAGGTCACATAGTTACTGTATGAGTCTGTCTATGTGAAATGTCCAGAACAGAGAAATCCATAGACAGAAAGCGCATTGGTGATAGTGGATAAGGCTTTTCTCTTTTGAGGGGATGTTGGGGGATGAAATACCCTAGAATTAGATCATGGTGATAGATGCATAGCCCTGTGAAGATAGGGAGGCCATTTGACTGTACACTTTTAAAGGTACAATAAAAAAAAATAGGACATCTAGGGTCCAGAATATATTACAGCTCATTAATGAAAAAATAAATAACCCAATTTAAAAGTGAACCGTTAAAGACCCTTCTCCCCACCCCCCAAAAAAAAGACATTTACATAGCCAAGGCGCACAGGAAAAGATGTTAAGCAATATTTCATTGTGGAAATGCAAATCAAAACCACAATAAGACAGCACTTCACATTCACTAGGAGGGCTAGAATCAAAAAGCCAGAAAATAACCCTTGTCAACAAGGATGTGGAGACACTGGAGCCCTCCTACTTGCTGATGGGAATGTCAAGTGGTATAGCTACTTTGGAAAATAGCCTGACACTTTCTAGAACAATTAAATAGACAGTTACTATATGACCCAACAATTCTATAATGACCCAAGGTATAGATACATGGGAGAGATGCAAACATATATAACTTGTGCACAAATGTTCATATAACAGCATTGCTTATAATAATCAAAAAGTTATTATTACTGATTATAGTATATCCACACAATAGAATATTATTCAGTCATAAAAAGGAATGAAATACTATGTACTATGACATGGATGAACCTAGAAAACAGTGTGTTAAGTGAAAGAAAGGCAGTCACCCAAAATATCACCTATTTTTTTATTCCATTTATATGACATATTCTAAACAGGCAAATTGAGAGTAAGAGTAGAGTAGTAGTTGCTGAGGGCTATTCAGATAAGTGCAGAAAAGAAGGGACTAGTAAGTGTAGTCTCTCTTAGGAGTAGATGAAATGTTTTAAAATTGGCTTGTGACTATGCTTTCACAACTCTATCAATATACTAAAAACCTTGCATTGTACACGTTAAATGTGTGAGTCACATAGGATGTGCATTGTATCTCAAGAAAGCTGTTTTTTAAAAATACAACCCATGCCAGTTTGATCTCTGAAAAGTTCTTTTGATGGGGTTTGATACTAAAGAATGCCTTTATTATCAGGCATTCTTCAAAATGCAAAGGACATCAGAGGCTGAAAACATCAGACACCTCATTTTCCTTCCCTATCGTTCATCTGTGTTTTATTTCCATACACCCATAAAACATGTTATCTACTTAGCACTGTGCACACCTGGCAGGTGCTATGTAAAGTCTGCTTCTTTTCAAAGCTAAGAACTAGGAAATTTTTCACTTCATCTAAGGAGGCAGCATGGTTTTTGCTACACTCAGAGTTCCATTTTTGGTCTGAGGTTTTGTTTTTATTTTTGTTTTTTCCTTTTTAACAGTTTGAGCACAGCCAACCGCAAGGGATTCTGAAAAATATAGTCAAACTGTAAGCCCAGAAAGGAGAATAAATCAAGTTTTGGTAAGCAGCTGTTCATCTCTGACTTAAAAAAAAAAAAAAAACTACTTTCTGTAGAGATTTGAGGTTTAAACAGATAAGCACTAAGGTATGCAGCACATGCCTCAGACATTCACAAACTCAGGAAATGCTAATTGTGTTATTATATGCATGCCCCCACATTTGGCCTTGACTCATGGTAGGTCTTCAGGACATTTTTACAAGTATACCCAAGACATCTTTGTGCTGCAATCATTTTAATTGCCTTCTCTAGCCTTTCTCTAACTCATTCTGGCATTTCTCCAAATTCAGAGACAAGAACCACACTCTGTATGCCAGGAGGAATTTCATCAGAGGTCCTCCACCCTTCTACCAAGAGATAAGAATGTTTCCATTGTTTGAAGTCATTTTTCTGATTTGCCTGTTTGCCCTTCCATGGCAGGGTGCATTGTGAGAAAGTTTGCCATGGTTCCTGATGCTTTCCTATGGAATTTGTAAGTATGGTTTGATTTGAATTGTTATTTCTATAGCCGATTCACTATGAAGTTGCTTAGTTTCCTCCCCAAAATATCGTAAATTAACTAGAATGTTCACCTGAACGGTCAGTTACCTTGTTCTCCCCTGAGTTTCTTTGCTATTTTACTACTGATATGTTTACACCCAACATACAGGATCTGAGTTATTCTACCACTGATGAGATAACTGCAGTATTCATTTTGAGGTACCCTGTGAATGCATAAATTATAAGTGAGTTTATTACTGCTACTTGTATTTTTATACTTACAATGCGCCTAGTTTTAATTTAATTTCAAAGGCCATGGCCTTTCATTTTGGTGGGATCTCTTCCTTGACCTTAAACTTCCATTTGCATTCTTATTCTTATTGTATCTGGAAATGAATTATGTCCCTATAGTTCTGCCCACTCACTGCCTCCTCCTTTCCTACTTCTTGGAGTATGACCACATCAAGTTCAATCAGAACATAATGAGACCGTTTTTCTTTTTATCAGACAGTCTCTACTAGGAGATCACACTTATGATATAATAATTAAAAAAAACCTTCTGATCTCAGTGAAAAATAGAAGTGCTTTTCTATAGAGCTAAATAATGAGAAATCCCTTATGCCATTTCAGGCTCCTAATTATGCTCATTAATTTTTTAAAAAGCATTCATTCCACTTTCGGGAAAGCTAAGTCCCTATTTTATAAT